TTATCGTTAATCTTCAAAGAGCAAGAAGCATGTCCTCTTGAAGGGAAACATTATCTGGATGAAGGTATTTTTCATTCTGAAAGTCTTTTAAGCAGAAGAATCAGGAGAATGAAGTTTGAGGAGTGAAATGGAGAAGAGTCTGAGCGCGAGTGCAGTAGGGAGATAGCCAGGAGAAACCAGGGTGTGGCATGGCAGCTGGTAGATGTCAGAGTGTTATAATTTGAGACATGAACATGAGAAGAAAGTCTGTACTTGATTCAGTAAGCAGTGGGCAAGCCTTTTGAGCAGTCTTGAAATGCCCTCAAACTGGCTAGGATGAGTTGGCAGATGAGTGGTTAGAATTTGGGAGAACACTATAAAGAATAAGAGAAAAGGTACCTTTTTGAAAATTTTCTTTGGGAAATTTTAATTTAGATCTCTGGCAAGAAACCTTGTATCTGCTGCCATCAAAAACAAACAAAAAAAGGCTGTAACAATTCATTTCTAGCAGATGGTAGTAAGATCCTCTTATCTCATTAAATTTAAAATATTTATTAAGCTCTCTGCTCTTTAAGGACTTGGAAGGCAATTCTATTTTGGAGGGTCTCCTGTTTGTGGGATGGTTCCTCATGAGCCCAACTGTGGGTACAGAAATTCATTGTGTCATTTAGTAAATACTTACTGAGGACTTACTGTATGCCAAAAATTGATGTAGGCATGTGGGAGTGTCTTCAAGGAGCTTACATTTGAGGAGGGGGAGATGGTAGATGGTAAGTGCTATGGAGAAAAAGCAGAGCAGAAACAGCGACCTAGGAAAGTACTATTCTTTTCTTCAGATGACTAGCTGGGAATGGGCAGGAAAATTAGCTCAGGGCATTACTAATAAGGATCAGCCTGAATGGTCTTTTATTTCCTTTGACCAGTCAGCTCTTTCTAGCTCTGTCTGTCTCCTTGAAACTTCTGTTTTTTCCGTCTTTCAGTTTTTCACCTGCTGGTACCTTCTGTCTTTCAGGTCACAGCTGACATACTGCCTTACCAAAAAGGCTGGGCCATTAAATTTTTTAAAAAGAGCCCCTTACCTCATGGTCCTTGTAACTAATTTGTCTGTTTTGTGTTCACTAGTCTAAAGCCTATTTTGTGTTAAATGGGAGGTGCCATGATAACTGTCTCTGGTTCTCGTTTGTGCCTTGCCCTGGCATGTAGTAGGTGTTGAATGAATGAACAAATGAAAGAGAAAAAGGCAGGGAATCTAAAAGGAGGTGCCTTTTCCTATCATTCTAACAAATTGGCTTAATTTCTTAAAATTAAGTTCTTCACATTGTTTGAAGAAATTGGGTAATTGTTTTTTATAAGGAAACTTCAGTATTTGTTGCATATAGACACCTACATTGCCTTAGGGCAGTACTGATGAGTCGTAGTAATTGATGGAAAGAAATGAACATATTAGGAGATGTGGATGCAGCTAGTACAGAGTTTCAAATAGAATAAAAATTCCAATCTTTACGAAATTGAAAAAGGAATATATTACCTACTGTCTCAAAATGGATTTTAAAAAATCTTATAATTTTTAAGAATAATAACATTATATGTGCAGTTCTGGATGGATTTGATTATTTTCTTTTTCTTTTTTTTTAAAGATTTTATTTATTTATTTGACAGACAGAGATCACAAGTAGGCAGAGAGGCAGGCAGAGAGAGAGGAGGAAGCAGGCTCCCTGCTGAGCAGAGAGCCCGATGCGGGGCTCCATCCCAGGACCCTGGGATCATGACCTGAGCCGAAGGCAGAGGCTTTAACCCACTGAGCCAACCAGGGACCCCGATTTGATCATTTTCTTAAACTTCTCTTATATACTGTATTTGAATTGACTTTTTAAAAATTGACTTTTAAATTTAACATTGTGCTAGATTTGCCTTATCATATTAGCAATATATTTATAAATCTATAGCATGGAAATGTATCTTTTGGTAAGTGACTTGTAAACCATCAATTTCTTAAATTTCTAGCACCTTAATGAGAATAAATGAAAGTCTGATTTACTAAGGATGCTTTAGAAATAATAGCAGTGATGCCCTTCATGTCTGTCATAGCTGATCATTGATACTGATAAAAACAAGAACATCCAGTATTTACTGAGCGCTGAACTAAGCAATTTGCAATAGGCTTTTCATATGCAGTAATTTCTACTTGTAGCTATGGAATTTGAGGTACAGAATGGTCAATGGGGAACCTGTACAAGGTCATACATCAGTGAGTCACTGAGCAAGGGTTTGGAGCCAGCAGGGCAGTTCCACAGCCCACATTGCTGCCAATGCTTTGTGCTGCCATTCCTTTACTCATTTCCTTACCCTTGTGTATTACACTGTTGAAGGGACTCTGAATAATTCCTATAGGAATTAGTTTAATCAATAAAGATAACTTTAAGCTTCCTGAGAATCTTCTAGAACCCCTCAATGGAAGATTATACTACTAAATGAAAACAGTAGGGCACATAGGGTTTGTTTGTTTTTTTTTTAATTCTTAAGATGTATTTGCTCATTTGAGAGAGAGAGAGAGAGCATGTGATGGGGGGAAGGGAGGAGAAGGAGAGGAAGAGGATTTCAAGCAGACTCCTACTGAGTGTGCAGCCTGAGGCAGGGCTAGATCCCACCACCCTGAGATCATGACCTGAGCAGAAATCACGAGTCAGATGCTTAACTGACTGAGTCACCCAGGTGCTCTTAGGGTCCTTGTTTTCATAATCCAGCTTTGTAATTTCTATACTTGAAGAAATATTTTTTAGAACATAAATCCTCTTTTTTCTTGTCTCTCATTTTGCATGGTGACTAAAAAAATGTTCATTAAAAAAAAACCTCTATCTGTGGTGTTTATAGTGGAATTATTTTGTTACCTTTATTACTTTTGGTATATTTATCTCTAATGGTAACATTGGGATCGAAGAGGGAAAATAGAGAGCAAAATTCAGAAAAGCAACCTCCTAAATGGAAGAAGATATTTGCAAATAATATATCTGATGGGGGATTAATATCCAAAATATATAAAGAACTTATACAACTCAACACCAAAAACCACAAATAATCCAATTAAAAAATGGATGAGGACCTGAACAGACATTTTTCCAAAGAGAAATACATATGGCCAACAGATACATGAAAAGATATTCAGTGTCACTAATCATCAGGGAAATGCGAATCAAATACACAATGAGATATCACCTCACATTTGTCAGAATAACTAAAATTAAAAAGACAAGAAATAACAAGCGTTGGTAAGGATGTGGAGAAAAGGGGACCCTTGTGCACTGGGAATGTAAATTGGTACAACTATTGTGGAAAACAGTATGGAGGTTCTTCAAAAAATTAAAAATAGAACTGCCATATGATCTAGGAATTCTATTACTGGCTATTTACTCCCCCAAAATGAAAAAAACACTAATTTGACAATATATATGTGCCCCTATATTCACTGCAGCATTATTTACAATATCCAAGATATGAAAGCAATTGAAGTATCCATTAATAGATGAATGGGTAAAGAAGATGTGGGGTGTGTGTGTGTGTGTGTGTGTAGGTGTATAAAGGATACATATAAAGGAATATTACTGAGCCATAAAAAGAATGAAATCTTGCCATTTGCAATGACATGGATGGAGCTAGAGAGTATTCTGCTAAGTGAAATAAGTCAGTCACAGAAAGACAAATACCATATGATTTCACTCATATGTAGAATTTAAGAAACAAACAAGCAACAGGGGGGGAAAAAGACAGGGAGAGGCAAACCAAGAAACAGAGTCTTAACTAAAGAGAACAAACTGATGGTTACCAGAGAGGGGGTGGGTGGGGGGTGGGGGAAGCGATGATGGGGGTGATTAAGGAGGGTGCTTGTCATGATGAGCACTGGGTGTTGTATGGAAGCGTTGAATCACTATACTGTACACCTGCAACTAACATGCTCTATTTGCTAACTAACTGTAATTTAAATAGAAACTAAAAAAAAAATAAATATGATGAAGATCTGGTATATATATACAATAGAATATTATCCAGCTATAAAAAAGAATGAAATCTTGCCATTTATGATAACATGGATGTGTCTAGAGTACTATGCTACGTGAAACAAGTCAGAGAAAAACAAATACCATATGCTTTCATGTATATGTGGAATCTAAAAAGTAAAAAAAAACACAAATGAACAAAAAACCAGACTCATAAACAGAGGGAACAAACTGGTGGTTGTGGGGTGGGGGGTGGCAGATGAGAGAAATAGGTAAAGGGGATTATGAGGTACAAACTTCCAGTTGTAAAATAAATAAGTCACAGAGATAAAAAGTAGAGCAAAGGGAATAGAGTAAATAATATTTTAATAATATCAGATGGTGACTACACTTATCATGGTGAGTATTTCATAATGTACATAACTATTGAATCACTATGTTATATACCTAAAACTAATGTAACATTGTATGTCAGCTAAACTTCAATAATAAAAATTAAGAAAAAAAATTTAAAAAGAAAGATATTTCTAAAGTTTGGTTGCTTCTAAATTTTTGTTGACCTGAATCACTTAACTTTATGGGCTTCTTGTTTAAAGCAGAGGTAGTGATATAGAAGTCCTCAGTTCAAGTTACATCACGAAATTTGCTACCAACATTTGTGATTTTCTTCCCCTCTCCACTTTAGTGTTTCATATTCTAGAACTGTAAAGTTCTAGAAAGAGAAAATTCAGAAGAGGTCCTTTTAGAAAAGCACAATTAAACTGATGAGGGAAATATGAGAAGGCACCCAGAAAGGAAGATTAATGGTAATCCTTTCACCATTGTGTTTAAAGCAGAATTTCAGATAGAACATAATCGTGCACCTGTACCAAACTGCCTTGAGATATACAGAAGGGAGGGGACTTCCTTTTAAAGAGGAGGGGAGATCACAGTTACCCAAAGTGAATACTAGAGTAAGAAAGCCAACGGTGTAAGTTGTGTTTCAAATCCTCTGTCCCTGTACATTAAACTTTTCTTGTTTGATTTCAGAATGAAGAGAAAGTTCTATTCTTGGGATGAATGTATGAACTTGAGAGAAGTTAAGGTAAGATCCTACAGGTGTAAAGAACCCTAGGAGGCCTTCGCTCTGCCTCACCCTGTCTCATTTATGAGGACGGTAGCTAAAGGGATTGTTCTGTTCTTTGTAGGAAACATTCCAAAGATAATTGTATTTCTCATGTTTTTTTCTTTCTCTTCCTAAGTAATTTCTCATTTCTTACCCGAATGTCAGTAGAGGACAACAGAAAAAACTATACACTCATATTTCAATGTATACTCACTTTTAAAAGAGTGTTTTAATTCATGTTATCAAAGGAAAGACAACTTTTAATTACTACATACCATTTCTATTTTATGCTGTATATTTATGTATATTGTATATGCATAAATTTCTGGATACCTTTGTATGGAACTTCACATAGTTAAGTCAGAAAAAACTTAGGCCTAGTGAATAGACTGAGAAAAAAAAGTGACAGATTGAAATGTTTAGCAGGTATTATTGGCTTGGTTTATTTTTGTACTTACATTCATTACTTAAAACAATTACTGCTTACTTTAAAATTGGTATTCTAAGATGTTCTATAGACATTAAGACTTAATTCACTCATGAATGCAGAAGAAATGGAAGATTACTTAAGGTAATTATCATAGAGATTGATGAGATTTTGCCGACTTCAATAACTTTGTTTTAAGAATTTTAATGCTGATTTGCTGTGTTACAGTCTCTGAAGAAACTCAATCATGCCAATGTGATTAAACTTAAAGAAGTTATCAGAGAAAATGACCATCTCTATTTTATATTCGAATATATGAAAGAAAACCTCTATCAATTAATGAAAGACAGGTATGTCTTTATTTTATAAAAACTATAATGTTTTCCCTGTTATCTCCTCTGTGAGTTCCTTGGATCCCTTCAATATGTTACACTTAACAGTGTACAGATTTATCACTCCAAGAGGTGGATGTAAATTAATTAGCTGTTACCTTTATAACCTTGAAGAAGAACCAGCTATGACATAGTCACCATTTTTCTGATGTAAACACACATTATCTATCTATACTTTTGAAACAAAATCTATCTATAGTTTGGCTTACTGGTTTGTTTTTTAAGTAGGCTCTATGCCCAGTGGAGCCCAACATGGGGCTTGAACTCATGACCCTGAGATGAAGACCTGAGCTGAGATCAAGAGTCAGACCCTTAAACCAAATGAGCCAATCAGGCACCCCCAAAATCCTTCTATAGTTTTAATACTAATAAAGCCAGATGTGAACAAAATTGAGATTACCTTCACTGCTCTCGCAAGCAAATTGTGAAAGGTGAATGAAAAAAGGGAGGAAGGGAATGAGGCAGTTTTCATGAAGGGATCGAATAAGTTCATTTGTTAGAATGTTTAAGTGAACGATAAAACTTAATGTGTTACCAATCTCAAAGAAATTCTCATTTTCATTTTTAAACCCATGAACAGAATCTCTAAAGAGAGAGAGCTTCAGGTATGTGCCTTGAGCTTGGGGAGGCTAATATTTTGGTGGTAACTGATGGTCACATGTGGGAGATTAATGACCATTTTACCTGCTTTTAAAGCCAGAGTTGTTCAACAGAAGATCCTAAAATACTTTAGAAATAAACTTTGCAGTAGAATGATGACTGCTTTCTCTGTATTTCTTTCATATACACATTATATACACACTCAAGGTAATCCTTAGGAATGGTGAGTGAAGTTTTCTTTAATCACATTTTTTCCTTCTTTCAAAAAATACTTACTGAATGCCTGTTAGGTTCCACAAGCTATCATTATAACATTAATAGTTAAAAGTAAAAAAAATTTCTACCCCTCAAATCACTGTTTGTTTTTCTATAGTTCTTTCTGGCCCTTGGAACCAGCCATGCCTGTTTTTTTACATAGTTGCAATTTTAATGGTGATCATTTTTTTATTTGATTGATTCACTTATAAGCATTTTGTTGTGCTGATATATGATCTTCACAGTTACTATAGTTAGTATGTTCTGCTAAATGACTATAGCATGCTTCACTTATCTCTCTAAACTTCTTAAAAGAAATAACTATTAGGAGAATAGATTGGTAATTATAGTTTATAATATTGATGGAATTATTTTGTAGCCATTAAAGATGATAGTTATGAAAATTATGAAAATGCCCAAGTGGATAAAAAACAGAAATCAAAATTGTAATTGTGCGACACTGATACTTAATATAAAAGTTATACATGTAAATGGATTAGGACTGGATTAGAATACTGAAAAATCTGAATAGTTTCTTAATCAGGTGATGGGCAATCTTAAATTTTTGGCTTCTAATAATTATGCTCTTTAAAATGTATGGAGTGGGGCGTGTGGGTGGCTTAGTCAGCTAAGTGGCTGCCTTTGGCTCAGGTCATGATCCCGGGCTCCCTGCTGGATGGGCAGTCAGCTTCTCCCTCTCCCTGCTGCTCCCCCTGCTTGTTCTCTCTTTTCTCTGTCAAAAAAATAAATAAAATCTTTAAAAACATAAAATAAATAAATAAAATGTATGGAGTGATAAACCTATGTGTGATATATTAAGATATATGTGTTGAAGAAAAAGAAATTAAGTAAATATAAATATTTGAAATGTTATACTTTCATCTGATTTAAAAACTATATAAGGGGCACCTGGCTAGCTCAGTCAGTAGAGCTTGATCTCAGGGTTGTGAGTTAGAGCCCTACACTGGATATAGAGATTACTTATATGTGTGTGTGTGTGTGTGTGTGTGTGTGTGTGTGTGTTTTCCTAAAGATATATAGATGATATAGATATAGATATAGATATCTGTATCTGTTATTGGAAGTGGTTAATGCAATAGTAAATGAACACTAAAAAGAATCAACTTTGGAACTTCATGATTCAATTCCAGATTTCTAAATTAAGTGGAACTAAAAATGATATTGTTTGAATATTATTTAATGTCAAAGGTATAAATTTAACAATTGTTAACAATTAACAATGGCACATGGTAAAGAGCTATCTGAGGTTAAGTGGTATTTTTACACCTTGTTTTTGGTAGCTTAACTTCCCGAATATTATTTTAAGGATGAAGATTAATTTAAAAGTCTTTTTTATTCAAGTAAACTTTTTTTTAAAAGATTTTGTTTATTTCATAGAGAGAGAGAGAGAGAGAGAGATCACAAGTAGGCAGGCAGAGAGAGAAGAGGAAACAGAGAGCCTGATTCAGGGCTTGATCCCAGGACTCTGAGATTATGACCTCAAGGGAAGGCAGAGGCTTAACCCACTGAGCCACCCAGGCGCCCCTAAGTAAACTTTGTTATCTATTTTACCTGAAGGCCAATATATATAAATCTTTGCTTCAATGCTATAACTGTATCTTTAATTTATAGCATTCTTTTTATAAATTTAAATTGTTGGCAAGCATAAAAGTATTTAGTTTCTTTCAAAATTTTTTTTATGAAAATGAGTTTTAAAAATATTTCAATAATATGTGATCAATATTATTTTCAATTTTGATATAATACCAGAATTTATCTTTCTTGTCTGTTGTGTGTTCTTAGCCCATTTAGTGGGATATTTTAAAATATTACATAAGCATATAATATAGTTAATGATATTCAGAAATAAGCCATTTTCTACATGTTGAGAACATTTTGAATAAACACCCTAATCTAATCAATCATGCTGTAATAAAGATACTAAAAATGTTGAAATTATGATGAGCTTTCAAAGTTTAAGATGATTACTTCCAAAATAGCATGGTTTCAGGGTCAAAGAATTAATTCAGGGTCAAAAAATTAATGTGTTCATCACATTAATTTGTGGCATGTTAGCAATTAATGTTTGTCTTAATTTAGTCCCTATTAGGCTCTTACATTAAACTTCATATAAATTCCATATAAAGCCCCTCTGTTCAGTACAGTAGCTACTAGTCACGTGGGACTCTTGAACTCTTAAAAATGTGGCTAGTCTGGATTGAGATGTGTTTTAAATGTAAAATTAAAATACACATCAGACTTTGAAAACTTGGTACAAAAAAAGGAAATTCATTAATTTTTATATTGATCACATGTTGAAATAATATCTGGTATATATTAAATAAAATATATTGTTAAAAATTAATTCCACATTTCATTTGTTTTTTTAATGTGGCTACTAGAGAAAATTTAAATACATAAGTGGTTCTCATTTGTGGCTCTTACTATATTTCCACTGGACAGTACTAGTAGACAATATAGAACTAAAGCAGTTAGGCCCCTAAAACTCTTAAAGCCTACATTTTATGTATTTGCACCCTGCATATCTGACGGATATCAGTTTTCCAATTTACTTTGCTCCTCTCAGGACAGTTTAAAAGTTAGCTGAGTATCTGTGCAACACATCCATTATTGGATTTGAGGTTTTATCAAACATCAAAACAGACAAAAATTCTAATTGTCATGTTTTAAATGTATAACCTTAACAACTATAAAGCTATAAATCACACCCTTAACCATGATCATGAAACCAACAGGGGTTCCAAGGGAAGAGGAACATCTGCCTTCTTGTTTTGGTTGGTTGGTTAACAAAATTACATGACTGTTTATTTGTTCCTGTCTTTACAGAAACAAGCTGTTCCCTGAGTCAGTCATCAGAAATATTATGTATCAAATATTGCAGGGGCTGGCATTTATCCATAAACATGGTAAGTTTAAATTTCCTTTCCCTGCCTCTTTAGATTACTGTCAAGGTCATGCACAGGAATCATATATAATCTGTTAAATAGTGTTACACTGAGTAACTACAGATTTGGAGTATGGGGCTGCACACACTTACAATTTTATTTTAAAAAACCTAGAATTGCTATAATTCCATATAACATGGAATTTCTGTACTCTTTAACTATCTTCCTCTACAGCAGAATTTGTTAACACTTTGATCATCAGCACACTTTGATCATCAGCCTTTGCTTTCAGTTATCATACACCCATCCCACAACCTCATTCCCCAATTTTACCATGGAAATGAAAACAAAACAAACAAAATGCCCTTCTTTTGGAAAAGATTGGAATGCTTTGATCACATGACCACTTATCAACATTTAAACAGTTTAAAGCATCAGTGCTATGGTATTTTATAGTTTTCTTAGTATTTACAGTTAGTTTCTGTTCTTTGAGTGAAATTAAAGTGCTTGTTCTTGTTTCTATGAAATTCTATTTATGTGATCTTCATTTATAGTTTTTTATGTATCTATCAAGCCAAAATAATTCATCCAAAAAGTTAACATGATTATTATGAAAATATTTGGCAAACATTTGTTTAGAATCCCTAGATGTTTAGATATTAAATGGGAAGAGTTTGTGCCAGACTACCGCTGTATTATGAACAGAGGCATTTGAAAATCCCCATCGTTAGCGTCTTTTCATGTTTCATCCCATATTTTGTATTTTCTCCTTTTCCCTTTAACTGTTACAGGAAGTAATTTATTTTCTAAAAACTCTATTTACCATTTGTTCCATATAAGCGTTGTCAGAATATTCCTGAACCCCACTTTTTTTGTCCTTTAAAAGTCTAAACCCTAATTAAGAAGGGCACGAGATGTAAAGAGCACTGGATGTTATAAGCAACCGATGAATTATGGAATTCTACATCTGAAACTAATGATGTACTACTATATGTTGGCTAACTGAATTTAAGTTTTAAAAAAGAAAAAGAAGGAAGGTGTTAAAAATAAAAAGTCTAAAGCCTATGATGATATACTACAATCCATTGATTAAAGTCATTTATTAATTACATGGAAACAAAGACATATTCTATTTTAATTGTTCATAATGAATTTTTGATATTCAGCCTATTTTCAAACACTGGCCAGCATGGTAACTCATGATATTTGCCTGAGTTAATTTATGCCAATAGAAACAAGTGTGGTGTGGAAAAATCAAAAGCATTATGAATTATTTGATTTTGGAAACAGCCTTGTGATAATTGATATTTTTCAGGTTAGTAATAAAACTGGTTTCCATTCCTTGGATATATATATGAACTACCAGCAATTTCAGAGTGAAAGTGGTTGAAGGAAGAAGTTAGTTTGGGGGTTAAAAACTGCTGCTACAAGTAAATAATATGCATAACGTGTGGTTGGTTATACAACCGATGACGCAGTGATTGGGGACACCAGATCCCAAGAACAATAGACATTGTAATAATGCTACATTATTCTTGCTGTAGTGGAGAAGATTTCAGATGTAATACTTTGAGTAAATATTTTTAAAATAGTAGCTAACTAAAAACAAGACTATTATTTTAGTTAGAATAAGGACCAAGTTACTGATATATTTGTGAGAATGGGGGAAAGTCAACTGTACAGATACACAATTGGTGTCATTCTGTATGATTTTATGTTGCTTTACTCACCACCATGTGTGCTCCTGTTCTGGTCTTCATGTTACGAAAGTGCAGTGTATTTCCCTTGAAAGTTCGTGACATGGATCTCAACAACTAGTTTGAGTAAGAAGTCCCAGATAAATTGAGTACAAAACTGTTGTAGATGTCACATACATAGAGCCCACACAGGCTTAGCAGGAATCAAAAAGCTTGGGCTTAAAATTTGACTTAAAAACTTTAGGCTACAGCTACATGAAAACCCCCTCATGATGATGACTACAACTGATGACCAGGACCCTTCTGGATTCTCTCACCTTGCAAGGTCATTGGAAGACAGGCCATCTGTCTACAGCCAGCAAGCTTTAGATCCCCCTTAGAAATGTATGAAGAGGGGCATCTGGGTGGCTCAGTGGGTTAAGCATCTGCCTTTGGCTCAGGTCATGATCTCAGGGTCCTGGGATCGAGCCCCACATCAGGCTCTCTGCTCAGCAGGGAGCCTGCTTCCCCCCTCTCTCTCTGCTTGCCTCTCTGCCTACTTGTGATCTCTGTCAAATACATAAATAAAATCTTAAAAAAAAAAAAAGAAATGTACAAGAGGGCTTTCATGTTCTTCTTGCTGCCTTTTCTGCCTCAGTTTCATTGCCCTGCCTCTCAGCTTCAGTAACCACTTATTTTACATACTGAATTGGTAAATAATTGGATTTTTCAATAAGGCAGCTGCCAGGGGAGAACTGAGCTATTATATAAAGTAATTGTAAATGAAGGAACTGGATAAAATGTGTGGAGTTCTATTTTTGTTTAATGGACTTTTCAAATAAGTGACATAAGCCTGATTATGTAGCTTTGCTTGGGCTTTAATTAGGTTCCTTCTCTTTGGGCTTCTCCCTCCTCATTTACTACACAATAGTGACCATAATACCTTCTTCAAGTTGTGCAAATTACTGGAGATAATTGGAATGTGGCAGTATCTAGCCCAAGTGCTTGAACTTACTGGATTCACAAACAGAAATATGTGTTAAGTGGGTATTTTAAATGGCCTCATATACAGTGTGAACTTCCTTATGAAATTTTGAAAGCAGGGTCCCCACCTCCATCAGTTTTTAGATAATAAATATGGATTTTTCTCCCCAAGTTCACATCCCTAATTACAACAGAGAGGCTCAGTTATATTTTGTTGAGAAGTCAATTATGTTTAGACATAATGCTCAATTACTGTTTTTCCTCTCTACGTTACCAAGGTTTTTTTCATAGGGATATGAAACCAGAAAACTTGCTTTGTATGGGTCCAGAACTTGTGAAAATTGCTGATTTTGGACTTGCAAGAGAATTAAGATCACAGCCACCATATACTGATTATGTATCTACCAGATGGTGAGTACCTTTATGCAACTCTGTAGAGGCAGAAGTAAGTCTATGTTGAAGCTTTACTACAGTGTGTCATTAACATAGCTTTCTGGAGGTTCCATTTTGAGTATTTAAAACAAAATATTGAACTGAATTTTGCATTCTGTGGAGAGAGAAGGACTGGGTCCCAACTATTCTGAAGGAAAAGAGATTTCATTCATTCATTCATTCATTCATTCAACAAACACTTGTGGAACAGCTACTATGTGCTAGGCACTATTTCAGGCATGCGGAACACAGAAGTGAACGAAACAGAAAAACCGTCGATCTCATGCTGCTTACATGACATCCCATATATAAATAAGCAAGTTAGGGTGCCTGGGTGGCTCAGTCATTAAGCGTCTGCCTTTGGCTCAGGTCATGATCCCAGGGTCCTGGGACCGACCCCTACATCGGGCTCCCTGCTCAGTGGGGAGCCTACTTCTCCCTCTCCCTTTGCCTGCTGCTCCCCTGGTTGTGCTCTCTCTCTCTCTCTCTCTGTCTGTCAAATAAATAAATAAAATATTAAAACAAAATAAAACCAAAAAAATCCCAAATAAGCTAAAAATATCATGAGTTACAGAAAGACATTCACATGTTCATCAAAAGACATATGCTCATGTCTCAAACTCCAAACTACCCAAATGTCCATCACATGCAGCATAATATATTCATCCAGTGGGATGCCTTACAGCAAAGAGAACCAAAGTCACTACATGCAACAATATGACCGAGTCTCAAAGATATAAGGCTGAGAGTAAGAGGCCAAACAGACAAAAAAAAAAAAAGTATATATGGTATGATTCCATTTCTACAAAGTACAAAAACAGAAAACTAATCTCTGCTGTTAGAAGTCAGGGTAGCAGTTACTTGACTAGTGACTGTCAAAGTGCAGGAGAGGGGCCTCCTGGAATGCTGATAACACCCAGTTTCTCGATCTTGGTGCTGGGTCAATGGGTATATTCTATTTGTGACAATTCAGCAAGTTGTCCTCTTACGATACATGCATTTTTCTGCATGTGTATTACATTCCAATAAAAACAAGAATATCTGTATATCAGATGATGATACATTATTATGGAGAAGAATAAAATATGGAAACGGACAGGGAGTAGGAGGGCTAGGGGAGGGAAAGGGCATGCTGCTATTTTAAACAGAGGGTCTCTCTGAGAAGGAGATGCCAAGGCACGGAGCTTTCAGGCAGAGAAAATGCTGAGTGTAGAGGCCTTGAGACAGGAAAGCCATGTGTGAATTCTGCAGAAGGGAATGTGGCAAGATCTCAGGTCCTTATAGGTCATCGTAAGGACTGTGATGGCTTGTTAATCTTAGTGAACTGGGGAGCCCCTGGAGAATGCTGAGAAGAGGTGTGATGGGGTCTGCCAGGTCTTAAAAGTATCACTCTCACTGCTAGGTTAAAAACAGATTTTAGAAGAGCAAGGGAAGAAGCAGGGAGACCAAGTAGGAGACTGTTACACTGGCAAGGAATGACAGTGACTTGGATCTGGTGGCCATGGAGGTGCTATTTTTAAAGTAGGGCAGCTATGATTTCCTGATGAATAGATGTGCGGTATAAGATAAAGGAGTCGATGATTCTAAGGGGGTTTTTGTTTTGTTTTGCTTTGTTTACTGAGCAGCTGGAAGGATGGTGTCAGCACTAATTGAGATGGGGAATACTGGGGAGCTTCCGGGGGGGAAGAAGCACAGTTCCGTTTTTGGTTGAGTATCTATTTTCAACTGGGTAAATTTAACCACTATACTGAAATGGAATGTAATTGAAAAGACTTTTTTTCAACATCTAAACTTGGCAAGACTTTCAAAACTATTTTATCTCATAAAAATATCAAAATATAGTAACAAGTATTGGCAAGGACACAGAGAAACTGGATCCATCATACGCTGCTGGGGTGAATGTAAAATGCACAGGAGAGTCCATAGTTCCTCGGTGGTTTAGCATATAGTTCCCATGGGATCTGAAATTCCATACCTCTGCACCTCAGAGAAAGGAAAACACACACCCACACAAAAACTTATATATGAATATTCACAACAGCATTCCTTATAATAGCCAAAAATTGGAAACAACCCAAGTGCCCATCCACTGATGAATGGATAACTAAAGTGTGCGATAGCCATATAATGGAATATTATTTGGTGGTAAAAAGAATGAAGTACTGATAGGTGCTACAGTACAACTTGGATGCACCTAGAAAAAACGTTAAGTGGGGCGCCTGGATGGCTCAGTTGGTTAAACGACTGCCTTCGGCTCAGGTCATGACCCCAGAGTCCTGGGATCGAGCCCCACATTGGGCTCCCTGCCCAGTGGAGAACCTGCTTCTCCCTCTCCCTCTGCCTGCCCCTCTGCCTATTTGTGCATGCTCTCTCTGTCAAATAAATAAATAAAATCTTAAAAAACAACAACAACAACATGTTGAGTGAAAGAAGCCAGTCCACAACGATTGGATAGAATATGGTTCCACTGGTATGAAGTACACACAATGGCAAATCTCTAGAGACAGAAAGTAGACTAGTGCTGGGGATACAGGGATATTGGAGAGGTGTGAAGTTTCTTTGGGGCCAATGAAAATGTTCAAAATTGATTGTGATAATGGATTACACACTCATTTATTTAAATATTTATTTATTATTTATTTATTTATTAATATTTATTATATTATATTATTTATTTATTTTATATTGTTTTATTTATTCATATTTATTTAAATATGAATATATTTAAAGCCCCTGAGTCATACGCTTCTAAATGGATGAGTTGTGTGTTATTCAAATTTTAGCTCAATAAACCTGTCAAAGAAAGGTACTCGGAACAGAAGCAAAAAGACAATACTGTGAAATATTTGGGCTGCTAAATCTACACATTTCAATGTGAAAAAAAAAAGTTATAATTGAGACTACTTTTCCACCATTAAAGATATTGTCACATGGGGGAACTGAGTCCACTGAAGAAATTAGCACTTTCAATCTGATAAGTAAAAAGAAGAGGAAAACCCCAGTACTTAAAAGATAGTCTTTGTTCATCTTTTGTTTTCTATCCTTCATATAAATACATCATGGATATATTTTTTAAAATTGTACTACAGTTCTCATTCAGAATACCTCTGCTTCTGTTCAGAGTTCCTCCCCAACCCTGTCTTACAGTACTTATTTCCATATTTATTCATTTGAGTTCCTAACTTAGGCCACTTGGACATTTCATTTATGTTTGTCTCCAACTCCACCAACTATTTGTAGTCAGGGAAAATGTGTTATGTCCAACTGAGCCCCAACATGCTATGCAAATGCCAAATACATAGAAGGCACTTAATACCGGTTCCTTGATTGAAATGTATAACCAAACCCCATCATTTCTCCATCTTTCCAACTCCAACCAAAATGGCCCGTTTTGTTTTGTTTTCTATTTCCATAGGTATCGTGCCCCTGAAGTTTTATTAAGATCTTCAGTGTACAGCTCTCCCATTGATATATGGGCTGTTGGGAGTATAATGGCTGAACTATATACATTAAGACCACTTTTCCCAGGGACAAGTGAGGTCGATGAAATCTTTAAGATTTGCCAAGTTTTAGGGACTCCCAAAAAAGTGAGTACTCCTGTCCTTAAGTTGTTATAACTTTTGATTATGATTTTTACTTAGCTATCTGATATTTTCATTTTCAAATAGGCTTATGCTTTAATGGTTATTTTTCTTATCCTTTTTTTTTAATTGGGTGGGATGGGAAGCCAGAATCCTTCAAGACTGAAGAAAAAAGGGTTCTTACCTTTAAGAACTTAACGGAACATTCTCTCTATTTAGAATTCTGTAGATTTACCGGGTTCATGAGCAGTTGATGACCTCGTGGCCATCCTCGCTTAGACTCTTTCCCATTTACTCTGCGAATATGCATTGGCATCAATTCTAGAATCCCAGGTTCCTGGGCCATTTCCTCTTAACCTTTCCTGTTTCATTTACATACCTCTGCCTTGGGTATTTGATTCCTCGACCTGAGTACTTCTCAATTAACTACCGCATTCAGCCAGACCTTACTTTCTGATATGTACTTAATAAGTACGTATAATTACAGCCTAATTATGTTAGTATGTGCCTTGTAGTTAAAATTAGACACGTAAACATAGTTATTAAAGCTTCGTGTAATTTGTTATTTCCTAACTATGTGCAGTTTTTAACAGTGGATGCAATGTCTAACATAACGAGGGTCTTTGGAATGATCAGCGGTTTGCACACACCACTTGTGACTTATTTATTCTAAGTCGGCTGGGTATCATCATTAAGATCTAAAAAACGGACAAGAGTTTAATATTCTGTCTATACTATATATAGCACTGAGTTGTAGGTCTGCTATTTCATTCTGTTTCTATAAATCAACACTAAATCACCAGTGATTGTTCTATTATACCTGTGTTTTTAAATTGATCACTAAAAACCATTTCCTTTTTGCTCTCCTGTCCCACCCACTTATATATGCCTTAAACAGAGTGACTGGCCAGAAGGGTACCAGCTTGCGTCCTCTATGAACTTCCGTTTTCCCCAGTGTGTTCCTATAAACTTAAAAACTCTTATTCCCAATGCCAGTAATGAAGCGATTCAGCTTATGACTGAAATGTTGAATTGGGATCCGAAGAAGCGACCAACAGCAAGTCAGGTAAGAGGAATACCTCTGGTACAGTGGTTTTTTTCTTTGCTTTGTTTTTGAGATTTTACAATACCAGGGATATTTTCGTTTACAAAGCAAGCCTGTTCTCAGCCAGGGTTTTACCAACCTGTAAATAAGCTTGAAAACCTGAGGCATCCAATAGGTCATGAATTCATTTCTAGGCCTATAAACATCCCTGGGAGAACTGAGAAAACAGCCACTCCCATGATTTTCTGTGTCTTGTGGTTCAAATGAGGTTGAGGCTGAAAGGAATTAATTTCTTTAATGATAAAAATTCAGGCATATGACAGCTAATTAGGAGGAAACTTGTCACTTGGAGTAACAGGGAATCTCTTCAACTGTGCAACGTAGGAGACTTTCTGTGTTGTCCCATGGTTTAGAGGTGGGTTCCTGTTCACGCTACGCAATGGTATCAAGCCTCCATAGGACTGGAGTACTGGTCACGCTCCAGCTCCCACAAGGGGCCAGCAGGTGGCGCCCTCCCTCAGCGCCTTTGTGACCAGCCCTCGAACATCTACAGAATGCCATGGTTGTCTTTGCTTAGTTTGAAAAAGTCCTAATGAGCTTCCTGGTATTCTTGTTATTTAAATGTAAATTCAGCATTAAAAGTACCAAAAATTTATGAGGCTTTTTAAAAATTTAACTTGAGAAATGTTTTCTGAAGGTGAAGTGGAAGAACAAATAGGAAAGAATAGTTAAGATAGGTTTGAACAAGAATAAGTAAATGGAGGACAGTGGTAGGGGCCAAACAGCTTGCCGGATCAGATATTAAAATAATCTGTAAAGTGAGAGGATTACAACAGTGAAGGGACTCGCATAAGAATCGACAGAGAGGGGCGCCTGGGTGGCTCAGTGGGTTAAGCCGCTGCCTTCGGCTCAGGTCATGATCTCAGAGTCCTGGGATCGAGCCCCACATCGGGCTCTCTGCTCTCTAGGGGAGCCTGCTTCCTCCTCTCTCTCTGCCTGCCTCTCTGCCTGCTTGTGATCTCTGTCAAATAAATAAATAAAATCTTTAAAAAAAAAAAAAAAGAATCGACAGAGAGCCCAACTTGCAGAAGCTGTTAAGTCAGGAGTAGGTAAACATGGCATCACAAATTGGGGGGAGGGGGACTGTCACTGGCACAGTTAGTTAATTCTCAGGAAAAAAGTAAATTTAGGTTATTTCTTACCAGACTTTTCGTAAATCCCAGAAGGTTTAAATAATAAGAAGGATGAACTAAACTATTAAGAACTAAAGAAAGTATATGTGAGTATTTAATCTCAAGATAAGAAATAGATGAGTATAAAAGTAACAGAAGAAACCACAAAGGGAAAACTCAGATTTTTTTTTCATCATGGTGAGTGTACTCCTCAGGCCCCATCGCCCATTTCCTCCATACGCCCACCCACCTCCCCTCTCGTAACCATTGGTTTGTTCTCTGTAGGAAAAACTCAGATTTGCTCACATAAAAATTAAATTTTTTTCTCTTATAAAAATCCCGAGATTGGAAGACAAGCAGCAAGAATTCTTTTCAACAAATGAGACAGTGTATTTTCTAATGTTTCTAAATATTTGTTAACTTTTATAATAAAAGTATAATAAAAGTCTTTAACTCTTACCTAAAAAAGAAGTGGGCATGAGACATTTTTTAAAAATCAGAAAAAGAAATAAAAATTACCAAAATCTATTTTTTTTAAAATGTGCAGCCATTGTTCCTTATGGTAAAATGCAAAAACAACAACAAACCAACAAAAAACAGCTAAAAGGCTATTTCTCTAAGTAATGGAAAAAATTTTGCAATGTAGTATATCAAGAATATTGAAAACAATCAGAAAGTTGGATAATGATTTATGCCCACAGATATTCAAAGCTAATTAAAAACTGTGCATTGGAGGTATATATATATCCTTAACATAGACTACTTTGCTCCCATTAAAAATGGAATTTTTAAAATAAAATAACCATTTTGGAGACTTCTCAAGCCCAAATGCTAAGTTTAAATGTAGGCTAGACTATTATACATACAACATGATTTTATTAAATATATATATATATATTACATGACTAGAAAGAAGTACAAAAAAAGCAAAACATCAAAATGTGAGCAATACTTTTTCCCTGGTGTTGGCATTGCAGACTATTTTAATTTCTTCTTGATGCAATGATCAAATATTCCCCAAATAAACAGGAAAAAACAAGTTCCTTCTTAAAGACTCACCTCTTCTTGAAAGATGGTAGCTGATATCTTAAAGACGAAAAGTTGTTACAGATGAAGCCTTGAAATTGCAAATCACACTTTTAAAGTTTCTAGCTCCAAAATAGTACATTTTTAATTTAGGAGTTTTGACATACTAATTAATAGGACTTAATTAGGAAATTGAGTGCTTTCTGTGCGCCAGGTACTGATGTATTTAAATTGCCTATATTTGTAGAGTTCCACTTAGGAACATCGGTGTAATTAACACATACATCGGTTGTGGTAGGGGACATCTCAGAATAAAGGCTCTTTCTACATCTGCTGAAATATACCTCCCGCCCTTAACCTCTTTCTTGCCCACTATTTCATAGATAGCCCTGCTTTTTAGTGGAAACAGGAAGACTGAGTTAGGAGACATGAACTTACAGAATACAGGAGCCATGTACAAGGCTACTTCTGTCCCCTCAAAAACTTCCCTTGCAATTAACTGTGGGTCAGAGCTGTGCTCACACATCAGTGGGAACCGGCTTCGCGCAGCACGTGCAGGGTAATAGGACTTGGCTACCTTAAGGTGCCCTCCTTACCCTCCCCCCATGCATACAAACATAAACTGCAGAACTGGGAACTTTCCTCCTTTAATCCAGGCGTATGATGACTGGGTAGAGGGATCAGTGTCCACAGCTGAGCTGCACGAAAGGCTTCAGAAATTCCCTAGACCAATTTTCATCAACTTTGGCCATTGTGACATTTGGATTAGATCCTTCTTTGTTGTGAAGACCATCCTGATATTGTAAGATGTTCAGCAGCACCCTTAGTAGCATGTCTAGATGCCAGTCGTACCTCCCACCCACGGGAGAACCACTCCTGTGGACTGTGCGGCCAGACAGTGGTCAGGGGCCCTCCCCTCCAGCCCACCACCTCCATGCGGCAGCAGCAGCTGGTTGGCTGATCTGGTTAAAACCCGAAGAGTGATCGTTTTTTATTAGTTTTATATTTTCTTCCCAGAAATATCTTCTCTTTGCTGATACGTTATTATAATAAGCTCTAACACATATCCATGTGTAATCTCCTTTTCTAAAATTTTTCTTACTGCTGGTAGGCATGTAGCTATCCTTAGGCAAAGAGTGGCCCTGAATTTTATATTATATTCTAGTTAATCATTTAACATGAACTCCTTAGAAGATTTTCTTAACTCATTCCCGAATGGCTTTGGAGGGACTCTAAAACCATGCTTAGTATCTAGCATTTTAGTTTGAATTAATCACATCAAATTTAGCCCGTGTTTATAAGCTGGATTTTATTTTCATACAAATACAACAGTTGCTTTGCCTGGACATTACCCATGAGTTTTACATTCTTCCTACTATGTTGTACCTTATTTTTTCAGTGAAATTTGTGTCCTAAATCATTATTTCCTGGTTACCTTTTTGAAGGTAGCAGAAAGGGAAAACTGGATGCTTTCTAAGTCTTTGAAGCTGGTCTAGGCTAGTGCTGTATGCCAAGCCTGCTGTCAGTCAGTCGTTTATGTGCGGTAAATTTAGGTGCAACTGTTTTCCATTTCTTATTTCCATGCTTTTGTAGGCATTGAAACACTCGTATTTTCAAGTTGGTCAAGTACTGGGCCCTTCCTCACATCATCTGGAATCGAAACAATCTTTAAATAAGCAGGTGCAACCACTAGAATCAAAGCCATCTTTAGGGGATCTAGAATTGAAGCCCCTGCCAGACACAAATGAGCAGACGGTCAGACAGCCCCAACCGAAGAACAGCCACCAGCCACTGGAGTCCATCCAGCCGCCCCAGAACACGAGTGTCCAGCCAGCGCCAAAGCAGCCGGGACAGCAGAAACAGCCGCAAACACTGTTTCCAAGTATTGTCCGAACCATGCCGACCGTAAGTAGCCCATAACGACACTTTGGATGCAATAGTTTCTAGGCTACAGACTTTCTTTAACAGTTACTCAGATGCATAAGAACTCAAAGAATTTAATAGAATCTGGGACTCAAGAGAGATGATCCTAAATCTTAAGGATTTGAATAGTAATTTTATACTGTTTTTAAATACTAATGAACATGAACAGAATGAGTTTTTTAAGTATCAGGCATTGTCTAAGACTTTCTCTTCCTACTTCTTTTGTTCGGTTCGGGGAGCTCCGTCGGGGGCCACATGAGTTGTATCCTCAAGATATATACTCCCAAATGCATTTGCATCGTGGGCACTTTAAGGACTGAGAGATCTCAACGAATACTGTCTAATTCCTTATCCTTATATAAGCAGGCCCTGCTCCCTGTAGCACTAATCCTATTCTACTGTACTATTAATTGCCTCGTTCTTGTGTGTCCTGTTTATTATCTGGCTCTTCCTATAGAATGTAGGCTCCAAGAGCTCAGGAATGTTCATCTGTTTATCAATACAGGCCCTGAACCCAGAATGGTGCCTGGCACGTGGTTGGCTTCTGAGTTTACCCGTTGAACAGATGAGTTAATTGTCCATACTACATCTAGGAGTCTGCATCATCTAGGGGCATTTCTTTTCTTTATTTTTTAATATGATTGAGTTATTTTAGAGAGAGAGAGAGCACATGAGCTGGAGGGGCAGAGGGAGAGAGATTCTCAAGCAGACTCCGCACTGAGTGTGGAGCCCAACACAGGGCTCAGTCTCACAACCTTGAGATCGCTACCTGAGCCGACACCAAGAGCTGGATGCTTAAGCAACTGCACCACCCAGGCACCCCCTCTTTGAGACATTTCTGACAATTCAGAAGTTCTTTCTTAGACTGAGCTAACATCTGGTTTTCTGTAGCTTTCTTTTTTTTTTTTTTGTTTTTTAAGATTTATTTGAGAGAGAGAGCACATGCAAGCATGAGGGAGAGCCAGAGGGAGAAGTAGACACCCCACTCTCCAGGGAGCCCGATGTGGGGCTCGATCCCAGGACCCTGAGATCATGACCTGAGCCAAAGGCAGACGCTTAACTGACTGAGCCACCCAATGTCCCTTCTGTAGCTTTTAATAAAAGTTTATCACTCTTCCCGAAAGGCAGCCATTCAGGTCTCTAAAAATAGCCCTTATATTACCTGTCCTCTTCTTTAGAAGAAACATCCCCAGTTCCCTCACACTCCACACATGACATCATTCACCAATGACTGAGTAATCCTTGGTTCCTGTGTAGGAAGGAGATTTTGAGTCCCCTCTCCATCCTGCTTCCCATTTAGAAAGAGGCTGCCACAGTAGGGGCAAACCACAGGGAGTATAAATCATGGGTGAGTCACTTCCAACATTCCAGAACCATATGTGCATTCATGTCACCAAAGATTACATTTTTGTTTTTTTGGTTTTTTCTCTTGGGAGGCACATCAAATGTTGACTCATACTGAGAGGAAAAGAAAAGAAATGAATATTTATTGAATATCTGCTAAGTGCCATGTACTATGCTAAGGCCTTGTATGCATTCACTAAGTTATTGACCCAGTAACCTAGTGCTCAATTTTTAGATAGCTAATAGGTTCCAGAGAAGGGATTGAACATTCTGTCAACTAAAATTCCCAAGTCTATTTTCTACAAGTGCTTTTGCTAAATCACATATTCTTTACTTCTTTCTTGTGTGTGGAATTTTTGCAAATTACAAAGTGTGATCTCTAGGATTCAAAAAATTGCAAGACCTTACTTTTACCCTTCCAATTTCTAAATTATTTTGTCTTGTCAGTTCAACCATTCTGCCTAGCATGTCACTAACTATGCACTGGTTTAGTTGTTCATTTGCTTTTTTTCCTCCTATATCTTCAAGATGAACAGAATGGCAGTGAGCCCTTGGACAGGCCACTAGGACCTTCTTGTACAGTGACACTGACCCACTGAGAGTACTCTTGGTCAGACTACTGAATAATGTACTTTGTGTGCTTGGGCTGCTATAACAAAATACCATAGACTGGGAGGCTTTAAGCTGGAAATTTATTTTCTAGATGCTGGGAAGTCCAAGATCAGAGTGTTAGCCAATTTGATTCCCAGTGAGGGCCTTCTTCCTGGTTTGTATAAAATGCCTTCTCGCCTCGTCCTTACGTGGCAGAGAGGGAAGGCAGAGAGAGAAAGCAAGCTCTCTGCAATCTCTTTCAGGAGGGCCCTAATCCCATCATGAGGGTCTCATCCTCATGACCTCATCTCATCTCTAGTTACCTCCCAAAGGCCACTTGTCCAAATACCATCACATTAGATTTGGGGTATAAATTTTGCGGGGGTGTACAAATTTCAACATATAAATTTTGGGGGAAAATAAACATTGAGTCTGTAACAGTACTGACCCACCTTTGTTGTCCTTTTGTCACTTCATTTCACTGACAGCATCAAAGACTCGTTCAGCTACTCTGTTGAAGGCCACAGAGACCACATATATTCATTGTTTGCTTTGTAGAAAAAATGGTGGCCTATACGATCTACCCACATTTTTTCCCTCAGTGCTCAAAAACTTTACCTTTAATAACTGAGTTTAGAGTCTTTGCCATTATCCTATACCAAACATATTAAAGTGTAATTTGCAAAAATCCACCTTCTACTTTATAAACATTATTTATATTTGCCCCTTTCCAGTCTTCTCAGATATCTTGATATTACTGACATGGCTCAGCAGCCTAGAGCATCAGCGCCCCAAAGAACAACTCAACAGAAATAAGAGGCTCACGCTCCGCTAACTATAACCTTTGATTAGCTCTGCTTATCTGGGATCTTAGATTGTTTCATTCTCCTTAGTCTAGAGTTAATTTTCCCTGGCAAAGAAAACAATAGTATAATAGAAGTCAGCAAACACCATTTCTGTCATCAGCCATCACTAAGGCACCATGGGCTCCAAGCAATAGCATATCCATTCTTTAAACATCTTCTTGCCCAAAATTTAGCTGTATATGCTTCCAAATTCCCTGATTTTCAATTGCCTTTTGGATTTTTCCATTTATGTACCCCCCAGCTGCCCCCGATAAATTTGAATAAAACCACTGTGTGGTCCAGGGCAGGTTTTCTTCCTCATTCCTTATTTTTATCAATAAAGCCACCATCCTGAAACGAGCAGGCTGAAACTTTTAGTCATCCCTGCCCTTCCTGTCTGCATCCATTAGGATTACATTCTTCTGTGACTTATGATGGAAAATGGACCACTGAGGCTCAAACAATAACGGGTTTTTTCTTGCATAACAAGAAGTCAGATGGTGGGCCAAACCAGGGCTGGTGCAGATTATAGAAGGAACCACCAGACTGCTTCCGTCTTCCTGTTCTGCCATACTTAGCAGGCTGCTTTCATTCCTCTGGCCACAAGATGGCTGCTGCTCCTTTGGGATAGCTTCTGCCTTTTAGAAGGGGGAAGAGTGAAAGCCACTGGCATGCCAAGGGAGTCCAAAAATAGCTCTCCTGGAAGTCCCTCCTGTACAATTAAACTACAACTCATTGGCTAGATTGTGTCACATGGCTACATAGAGCTGCGAAGGAGGCTGGGATTTCATGTATTTTAAGTAGGTATATTGAAAGCAAGATGGGAAGAATGGCTACTGAATGGGTAACCTGGCAGTGTGTGCCACACTCTCCTCTGACCTCTGTTCAGGGAGATGCAAAGTTCAGTCCTTTTATTCCTTGTTAAGAGCAAATGTATTCTTTCATGACCATGCCAGTATAACTGTAAAGACTTCCTATTTGAAGAGCTTGGCCTTCTAGAATGCTGCCTTTATCTCACCACTTTTTAGTTCAAAGACATCCAGTGTACTTTACCGCCCACGGGAGAGCTGCAACTCATTAGACATACTGAAGGCCTTCAAACGCTGTCATCAGTCTGTCTTTGCAACCCCATCCTCCACAACTTCCAGCACCAACCATCTGCTTTGATAAGCTAGGTCTACACTTTCTTCCTGGAACAAACTCTGGCACTTTTCTCTTTTTTCTTTCTTCTTCTTCTTCTTTTTTTTTTTAAGTAGGCTCCATGGCCCAATATGGAGCCCAACATGGGGCTCAAACTCACAACCCTGAGATCAAGGCCTGAGCTAAGATTAAGAGCTGAATGTTCACTGACTGGGCCACTCAGGTGCCCCTGGCACTTTTCTATTAGAAAGTCATACTCTGTATATTTCCTCTTCCAAACTCTGGAACAACAATAGTAATAACAACCATACCACCTAACCTTAGTATAACTCTTGTTATATGTTAGGCCATATCCTAAGGACTTTCAAGATATTTTATATTAAATTCAGAAACACTAATTAGAGAAATACTGTATATCTCCATTTAAGGAGGAAGAAACCACCAAGGCTTTGAGAAGTCACTTGCCCAAAGAGACACAGTCACACATGACACTTTTCCAAATTATACATCAGTGAGGAGTCAATTCTGATCCTAAATATTCAAGTCTCACCCCAGCCCAAATCCAGAGATCTCTCCTCCCTCTGAACTCCTATCATATTTTTAGCATGTGCTACCTGTTTTTGTTAATACTTTTCAACCTGTATATATGTATCCTCTTAACTTTATGGAATCCTCCTTGAGAATAGGTACTTTTGGTATCAACTAGAATAGCTTATGCATAAAAGGAACTCAGCAAATGCTACAGATGATGATGTCTGATTTTCCACCACAGAAGCCAAATGGCACACTGGGTCATAAAAGTGCTAGGAGGCGTTGGGGTCAGACTGTGTTCAAGTCTGGAGATAGCTGGGAAGAATTTGAGGACTGCGATCTCGGAGCCTCCCATTCCAAGAAGCCAAGCATGAACATATTCAAAGAAAAGAGGAAAAAAGATTCTCCATTTCGGTAAGATTTCACATTCCAGGAAAATATATTTTTATCATGCATCAACTTATATTACTCATTACGTATAACTGAAGATGTTAAAAGACAATAAGTAGCTTACCATTGTTTTCTTCCACATACCCCAGATCTCTACGTATACCTCTGGGAAGGTAAGAATCTTGACTTCTCGCGGTAATGATTCTCAGTATTAATGGCTGAGTGTTGTGTGTGTCCGGCGGGGCAGGGGGAGGGGAAGAGTTCTTGTGAAGTTGTTAGTGTGCCCTACTGAATTATGATCGCCATCATTCCCATTTGAAATCTGTATGCCTATTTGAAGAAAAGCAAAGCACAATCTATAAAAGTAACGGTTTCCTCTGATGGTGCTCAGATTCACTAATTTGTTTGCTATTCTAAACTCTTCTGATCATTTCTTAAACTTTTTCTGTAAGTTTCGTATCTCCAGCAGTCCCTTTTCTAAGTTGTCATCATTAGCGCACTTTTCAACTTTGAGGTGAGGGTGGGTTAAATTTTATGAACAAAAGCTTGGGAAAATATTGTCTTTTTTTTTCTCTTTGGAACAAAAGAGGGAGAAAAATATTGGCAGGAGGCAGGGAATTTTATCTAATAACTATATGGCATTTACTTTGGGACACACATGTCTCTGAAGTACATGGAAGGTTCTGTTAGGAGGACTTACGCTTGAATAATTCTTTGTCAATAGGTTTCCAGATGCTCAAGTTCCATAGGTACTCTTCTGTAAAGTACACGAACTTGAGAACAAACATGCTTAATCCCCCTCCCACTTTATACCAGAGGGTCACTCCTCTCAGCATTTTGAATCTGGAGTGGCATGAATGCATAACAACCTTTGCGATGCTAGACAAAGGGATAGGTCAGAAGACGGCCATCTTCAGCTCAGAAGGCTTTGTTGTTCCTATACGTATTTCTCTTAGGGGAAAGAAAACCCCACATTAGAAATCGAGTATGTTAGCCAGTGTTGGAAAGCATGGGGATTCAGAACCACTAAAGCACTAGAGCCTAATGATGCTTATTCCTTTAAATGTACTAGAATGTTCTGTGAAACTGTTGACTTTTTTCAGAACCTACAGATATACATTGTACATAATTTTTGAAGATTCAGTGTTTTATGGAATAAGGTGCTTAGAACTTTATCAACTCGCACCATGAAATACTCCAATTATAGTTCATCTTCCTATTTCATCTTATGAATTATTCACTGTTTTCTATATACTATTAAGAAATAAGAAAATGATTTAATTTATAATTAAAACTTAAAGATGTCAAGTTAGAGAGCTACATAGTTGCTTTTTTCTTAAATAATTATTTGCATCTGCATTGATGTACTATGTAGATGACTTGAAAACTTTTTTAAACCTACGTAATCTCAATTCCAGCTGAATTTTATCATGTGTCAAAGATAAAGGTGAAGAGATTTGAATCAAAATCTATAGTTAAAATCAAGTTTGTAGTCCATATACTTAATTCTGGCAAGGGAACAATTGGTAAATGTCTTTTATAACATTTATTCCTTTTCTCTTGAAAGTCTTTAGAAAAACTGTATGACAATGAATTCTTAACGTGTATTTCTCCCATTTTTATTTTTTAGTATCTTCAAATGGCTTTATATAATTTAGACATATAAGAATAATTATTATTATATTTATAGAATACCTAGTTTTCCCTTTCCCTCCCTTTTCATTTTGACTTCAGGTTCACAAAACTGAATTAATCTTATTTCTCTGCTCACAACAGACTCTCACCACAAATGCATACAAGCCTCTGTTTTTTTGCCTGTCCTCTGCTAATGTTCCCATTCCTTTCCTCACCAGAGGCACTGACTTAAGTATTGAATAGATGTCCATTCACCCTGCTTCCACATGTCCCCTTACAGATATATTTATTCTTGAAATATATATAGTACTGTTGTTCATATGCAATATACATACACAGTATATTATTAATATACTTCCACATATTAAGTGCCTACCTAAATTTTAATTTGTAATCTTCATGTTCCAGTAAAAATAGTGTAGAACAGAATACTGAGAGTCAGGTTGGATAAACAGGTCGCCTAAAGTCAGATGAGGCCTAATTCAAAACTTATCTAGATGTTTGCCTCTCTTCTGTACAATACTTGGTGAATTGAATGCACTCTGCTATTCTCTGCATAGGCTTACTCAAAAAGAATACAACGGATCAAATACTAAAGTGTGAAACTTTCATTTATTAGGCTGTCATTTTTTTTAGCAAACAAAACAAAAACAAGGTATTTATACTTACACTTGTATGCATACGCGATAGACAGTTACTAAACACCTAGATGGTATTAAGCAAAGGTAGGAACAGGATGTGTCTGTCTTCATCCCATCAAATGTATAACAGTGGAAATATATAACACAAGAACAGAACATGTATTAGGTTCTGCTTATAAAGGAGCTCTAAGGAGCTCCAGAGTTCTGCTCATGGGCAGATCACTTTGAGGAGGAGCAAAGTCTTTTTGGTAAGAGCAGTTTTGAAAATGGGTAGGATTTCAGCAGTTGTTGGTCTACGGTGGGCTGAGGGAGAGGGAAAGGACCCAGAAATGGGTGAGGCTGTTTTTAATGAAAGGGTCCTCCTTGTGTCTAGGGCTACCCCAGAGCAGGTTGGGGCAGCCAGAAGATCAAAGGGCCAACCAAGACAGTGTCGGTCCGAGGGAGTCCCAGACAACCTTACTGACAGACATTGCTTTCATAGACAGGTAAGGGGGGCTATGATCGTCTTCCCTTTCAACGTGCCGTCCTCCCCTGTTATAAATCCACAACTGTAGCAGTGGCCGGAAAGCTAGAAACATTACACACAGGCAGTGTGCTGCTCAGTTATAAAGCTTTCTGTTGCATAATGTTTAGTATTAAGAAGGATTGTGTGGACAGCCCAGTATCTGTTGGGGGAGAAGTTGTCATTTAGTGTCCCTGTCAGCAAAAGGACTCTGATGGAAACCATTTAAGTGAGGTGACCTTGCCCTTGAAAAGATGAGCAGGGTGTGGGTGAGAACACGTAGCTGTCATCTTCACATGTTTTCACATTGTAATGCTGCCTTATGTTGATTTTCAAGGCTTCCAGACTCCATCCCCTCCGGCTCCCACCACTCCGCAGGGGAAAACAAGAGCTTACCTGCTGCTTTTCCCCTAAAATCTGATCCTGAACTGTCAACGGCCTCAACAGCTAAACAGTACTACTTGAGGCAATCAAGATACCTTCCAGGTAAGCAGTGGAAATGAAATGTTTGCCACCAACCAGAAGACAGGTCAGGCTCAAGTGTCTTGGAATCTTTGTAGGAAGGGCACCAGTAAGATAACAAGTATAATCACAGTGCTCTTGGCTGGCTCTGCCTTGCCAGTACTTGTCTCCAAGGACTTTTCTCAGTCTCCTGCCTCGGTCAAGTCTGCTCAAGAAATGCTTAGTCAAAAATCAGGATGAGAACAGGCTTCAAAAAAATACCACTCTCGTCCACCAAAGCTATGCCTTTAAGTGCTAAATTTTGGTAAAATAATTCTGTACCCCGGTTACACCATTTCATAAAATGTGGGATTTTACACTGTTTCCTAAATGATCTGGATTATGGTTTTGAAAGATCATGGTGGGTTGAGCATACTACGCACTCAAGAGGGGCAAGGAGGTTGGTTAGGAGCCCAGTGCATGTGTCTGGATAGAGACGGTAATGGCTTGCTCCGGAGTGGCGAACGTGGAGACCGAAAAATGGGTAAAAGCTCAGTGTATTTCAATAATGGAAAGATAAGACTTGCTGACAGACCAGCATGGATGATGGTAGAAAACAGCAGGAATTAATGTTGGCTACTGGGTTTTTGACGTGGCAATGACTGGGGGGATGGTGGTGACTTTAGCTGAGAAAAGGAAAATCAGGAGAGGACAGGAGGTATGGAAGTGGAGAAACTGGAGTTGAGGCTGGGATGCCTAGCAAACATCTGAGTTGATCTATCTAAGATGACTGAATATATGAACCTGGAGCTTGGGAGAAAGATCTAGACAGATGGTGGGGACTTTATGTTGTGCCTGCAAACAGCATTTCTCTCCTCAAAATCCACTTTAAAAAGAAAAGTTTAAATTTAATGAAGTCTAAAAGAGAATCAATTTTTAATTGACTGTGTATCTATATAGTATATCTTTAGTCCAAAAAGAGGGAGAGATAAAGTTTTCATCTCTGGGCATGGCTATTTACAGCTTTCTGAATAGTAAAAAGGCCATTGAGTTCATGTGAGGAAGTCTCCAGAAGCAAGCCATGGTTTCATCTCCCAGGAATTTGGGAAGGAGGAATAAGGAAGACAAGACAAGGGTGAAACTGGATTGTTAGCAAGAGATTGCGGTGTAACATTTTTCCATTTATCTTTTAGGCAACCATATAAATTTCAGTTTTAGGAATCCAGTAGAGATCCACTCCTACTGTCAATAATTGAAAGGAAAAAAATGAAATTACAGAAGGGCTTTAGAAATGGACAGGAGAGAAAACAGAGGCACGATGGCTGTGTAGGTTTAGACAAACATGTCAAAGAAGTTGAAATAAAGGTAGGGAGGACAAGGCCAGCGTTCAGACTGCACTTCTCTGCTGAGTAGTAAGAAGGAAGATACTGTCCTATCCAAGAGAGATTGAAGAGACTGGCATGAAGTTATCCAGGAAGGAGCTAAAACTGTAACCCTGGGTATTTGGAGATCTGTGGCTTCAATGTCTGTTTTGTTTTAGCCTTTAAAGAGGGGGTGGCCCAGCTGGTCATTAGTGGATGAGCAGCAGGTCTCTCTGTGTGGATGGAAGGGCAAGACATTGTGAGACCCATGGAGAGCACACACATTCATTCATGGATGCTGTCAATTCCTTTGTTTTATTCATTCACTCAGCAATATGTATGCAGCACTTAGTATGTGCCAGGAACTTAATGATCTAGGCACTGAGATATCTGTATAGCAAACAAGACACACAAGGTCCGTGCTCTCTGGAAGCTTATGTTCTAGTACAGAGAAAAAAGGCAAATTCACAGGTGGTAATGAGTGTTGTGGAAGCAGAGAGATGACCTGGAGCGTGGCCGTGGGGGGCACTCCCCGATCCCTTCACCTCTGACTTGATGCCAGAAGGAGGAGGAGGAGACATCAAACCGAGAGCTGAGAGAAGGGTTTTAGGTGGAGGGAACGACGCTAGCTTGAGTAGATCAACAAGCTGCCTATCTGGAGCTTAAAGGGCTGAGGGGAGAGCAGTGGGGGCGGGGGGAGCCAGCAGGGCTCAGATGACGCAGCACCTTGAGGGCAGGGGAAGGAATTTGGGGTTTGTTCCAGGTCCCATGAAGGCCTTTGAAGGAATCTCAGGAGGTGAGTGACACACGACACGTGTGTTAGACTCTGCATAAAGGACGGATTGCAACAGGGCAAGGCTACATGCAGGGAGGCCAGCTGGAAGCTACCGCAGTCCTCCAGGGGAAAGATGACGACGACCTCTTGATAGATTTTGGAAGTGGACTTGCTGATGGATGTTGGTAGAAAAGAAGGAAAAAGGGAGTTTGGAGCTTGAATCCGAGCTGGGTGGTGGTGCCGTGCTCTGAGATGGGGGAGTGAGGAGGAATAAAACTGGGTGGGGAAGAGGTAGATAGTCCTGTGCGTGGGCTGTTGTTTTTGAGATGCTTGTGAAACATGTTGGTGTGGAGAGGCCACTCCGATGGAAGGAGGGAAGAACCAGGAATGCAGAGGAGGGACCTGGGCAAAGGAGAACAGATGTAGGAGTCCGCAGCAACTCCCAGACAGTATTAAGTCCATGGATTGACTAGGATCACCTGTAGAGAGATTGGGAATGGGAACCATGGTAGCGGTAGAGGAGAAGGAGCTGAGAAATAGGAAAGAGCCAGGCAGATGATGGGGAGACCAGGCACAGGTGGTTTCCAAAGGCCAAGAAGGGAGCGTTTACCTGAAAAAGTTTACTGCTGAGCGCTTATAAGAAGGGAGAGAAATGCCCAATCAAATTTGACAATGGAGAAGTCCCTGATGACCCTGGGCGTGCAGTTTCAGTCTGGAATGGTGAGGGATTGAAATGAGTGGGTTGAAAAGTGATGAGAAGTGAGAAAGTAGCGACTGAACAGGCATACTACTCTTTGGAGATGTTCTGCTGCGAAGAGGAGCTTAGAAAACAGAGCCATACTGGAGCTGGCTCAGGGAGCACATCAATGGTGGGGATTCTGGGTCTTTGGAGCTCATCTACATGTGGACAGGAATGATGGCTTACAGAGGGAGGCATTAATCATGCTGGAGGGGAGGGGGATGCCTGAGGGACTGAAGTCCTTAGGAAGGGGAGAAGAGTTGGAATTAAGACCATAAAACATGGGGGGCACTTTTGAAAGCAACAAAGGCACTTCCCTTGTAATCTCTATCTAGATACCTGGAGGTTTGTAAATGTTGGTGTTGGTATTGTGAGGGAGTTCTGATCTGACTGCAAAAGTAGGAATGTAGCAAAGTTCCCAGAACACAAATTCATGGGGGATACTCTTCCGTCTGGGGAAAAAAACAAAAATCACTCAGCAAATTGGTATTTTTATCTATACAAGGAAGCCCTCTGGTGGTGGGAAAGGCAATTGTAAATTTTTGCTAGGATAAAGGGATGCAAGGTACCTTGTTTTCATATTTCTGCTCCCTAAAGTGGATTTCTGGGACATATTTTGGGTATCTGAGACTGGTCAGATCACTTCCTTCTTAAAAGAGAGATGTAACAGTTTCGCAAATTACTGTGGTTCATAAGCATGGCTATAATCCAAACTTAATAAACAGACTTGAAATTAGAAGTGCATGAAATCTCAATTTGAGCTTTACTATTCCCCTGTTGGCCTTTTTTGTCTTGAGGATGCCCCTCTAGAGCTGGATGAGATTTGAAACTAGAACTGAGCTCAGTTCAGTTACCTGGACAAACATTTATTGAGCACCTATCATGACCCAGCAACTGCAGAGGATAGAAACTGTAATAAGAAGTGATCCTTGACATATGTGATCCAAAGTTATTTTTATAATTGAGTATCTTCAGGATTAAAAAAAAAAAAAGAATATCTTTGGGGGTCCTTTTTTTTTTAAAAAAATTATAAATCCAAACATAAAAGGTTTTATTAAGCATCAACTTTTTTAGGATCATGAGAGCTCCAGAAATGTACCATATACTTTCAGGGCAGCATGACATTATACAAGAATTGGCAGATCTGTGACACTGGCCTTCAGGGAGAGAGACGCAAGAGTCATAGTTACTGACCTGCTACTGACCGGCTGTGTACTGGAGCAAGACTTTGAGATTCTGTTTTCTGTTACTTACAATGGGACTGCAGTCATCGCTCAGCTCACCCTGTAAGCCTTACGTATTTAATGATAGCAAGGTAGTTGCAGTAGAGTGTGCGATGCAAGCACAAAGCATCTCTCGGAGGTGCCTTCTGGTCTCCCGTCCTGCTCCCAGCACCACCCAGCACCAGGACTCCAGCCCGCATGCACGGACGCAGCCACGCTGGCCCAGAGACAGGCTCCCTCCACAGCGCATTTGAAACCCTGCTCCTTCCCGAGTCCCTTTATTACTTCTGTTCCTCCTTCCTGCTCCCCTGGCCTTGTCTTCAATGTCCCATGTCATTTCTGCACTTGCCTTTCCTACCGTATTTTAAATGTCTTCACAGGACACACACATCCCTATGTGACTTGACCCCTACTCCCCTCTCCAGCCTCATTTTGTGCCGGTCCCTGGTCTTCCTTTGTCCACGGGCTCTCTCCCAGGGCTTCCCCATCTCGGGTCCCCAGCCTACACTGTGGCCTCTCCCGACCCCCAATCAGATTCACAGTTCACCTTAAAATTCCTATTTTTTTAAAGAAAGAGTGATAGACCTTTTAAAGAAACTTGCTTCTATTATTTACCTGCCCCCCCCAGCACCATATTCTTTTAAACAATTTATATACCACTAATTATCTATTTATAACTTTTAATGTCTCCCTTTCCCATTAAATTATAAGAGCCGCAAGAGTAGAAACTAGTGTGCTGTGTTCACCACTTTTTGTCCAGTGCCATATACACTGCCTAGCATGTGATAGGTGCTCACTAAATATTTGCTAACTGATTTAATCTCCTCTGAGGCAAGGGATGATGGTATGTTCATTTCTACCTCTATCCCAGTGTTTGCTATATAGAAGGTGCCAAGTAAAAGCTTATCAACTAAGATGTAAATGACTTAACAGTCTAGATTGTGTCTATTTCCAAAGAATCTGGAATCTTCAAAAAGACAGCAGTAAAACAATTTTCTTTGCTAATGGATATATTTACTTAAAAAAAAAAAACTAGGGATATCACAAGACTAACTTGATTAAAAAAATAATTGAGGTACTCAAGAGCCCATTCTTTTTGAACTACACTTATGAAAACAGTTCATTTAAGGTGATTTTTAGTTTGTCCCCCTACCAAAAAAAAAAAAAGATTTTTTGTGTGTGTGAAGATTTTTTCATGAGTTATTGCTATCTTCTTTAGAAAGTGCATCTTCTTTATTGTCAGGTAATTGCCTGCTGTAGTTCAATTTTTAAGTGTTTTATTAGAAACCAAAATCCGTACGAGCTATATGCCATAAGAAAGGCAAATTATTTACCTGGCGGAGGGTTTCATTAGAGAACTGGTGACCAGTAACCTTGAGATACAAAGCAACCTGGTTTTTTTCTGTCTTCAGAACTAGGGATATTATTACATGCCTCATAAATGGGAAACTTTGCTAAAGAGTTCACTCTGAAAAGCGAGAGATTGTCCCACCTGGAAAAAAATTGCTAATTTCCTATACTATTGGTAGTTCCCAGTGAGGATTTTTCTTGTATTAGCTGAAGAAAACACTCATGTCCAACCCAGAGGCTTTGATGGTGTGAGGTCTCTACCGTCCTGTATGTTACATCCAATTTATGGTCAGGAAAAAGAAAGCAAGTTCAGGAAACTTTCAAATCTCTTAAAAAGTTGAAACACCACCCTTTGACCACTAGTACCAGAGTCCAAAGTTGACTCCACGTTTCACAGATTTCAGAAAATCAGAACTACTTTGTTTAAATTTTACTAGGTCTCATATACAAATAAGCTTCATAGATAGATGCTGACATATCTGCTTCCAAACTTTAAATTCCCTTGAGTTCTTGGTCACACGTCTGTTTTCCTGGCCACACTAAGTGTTCCTCCAGGGTCTGGCCCAGAGTTCATACTGAAAACAAGTAAATGACAAGGAAGTATCTTTTTGAAGAAAATGTTGTTACCATCTCCATTTTTGTAAGGCATTTGGCAATGTTTAACCTATTATTTCTTGTATGACAGAAAACATCTTATGTTTATAAAATACACTGTGAGGATTCCAGGTTATTGGAAGTATTTCAGGTTAAGGCAATTATCTGCTACATTGCAACATAAATTTATTTCCATTCTCCTTCTCCATGTTATTTCTGGTCTTCATCTGAAATGTATTATATATTTTTCCTTCAAGTTAATGATCACACGCTAACCTCTGAAATGACTATTTTGCTCTTCTAAGGTGTAAATCCCAAGAATGTGTCCTTGGTAGCCAGTGGAAAGGATATAAACCCATATACTTGGAGTAATCAGTTATTTCCTAAGTCATTGGGACATGTGGGGGCAGAACTTGCTTTCAAAAGGAGTAATGCAGGTAAAGCAAAAATACATTTAAAGTATAATTTTACATTGTTTTTCTTCTGCAGATTTTTACTTTTAACTACATTGCAAGCTGCCTTCTTCCAATGGAGATAATTTTGGGGGTACACAAAAGCTTTCTAACTGGTACTTCAGCACAGATCATTTAAAGGCAATCATTTGCCAGATCTCAACTTCCATATGGATTCTGTCCTAAAAAAAATGCATCTTCCTGAACAATGGGTCTCTATTCTCTGACTTTACAAAAGAAAAGACAAATTCTGTTTACTAGGGTATGTTTCCTATTTCCCCAAAGAATAAAAATCTCTGGGGTGCCAGTCAAAGACACAGTTTCGTATGTTGGGATCAATATTGAGAAAGTGAGTAACTCTTGATGACTGGGGAACAAATCCTGTTTAAGTCACGTGGCTTCCAGTTCTTAGCCTAATTGAATTATCAGCTGACAGATAATGAAAACTCATTTTCAAAATCACTATGATTTTTGGTCTAGAACTCTGAATAGAGTTCAAAGACTGTTGTGACAAAGCTATAACAACACCTTTCATTCCCAACTATCTTTTTACATTAAACAAGGTTTCTCAGTGCTTCCATCTCCAAAAAGGAACAAGAGAAAAAGGAACAGAACTGGTGCTGAGACCTGATTTTAGCAATAAGCAATACTCATTTGTGGATACAAGGACAGCCTGAAAAGGTGCCATCTTTCTCAGTGAGATGAATTTCTCCAAAAAATAATACCTTTCAATGTTCAGTAATCAAAATTTATAGTATTCATCTTTTTTGATTAATTATATGCAATGAATTATTGTAATTATAATGAACCTAATCTAGAAAAAGATATTTTAACATACTTACGGCTATAAAAAAATTTCTTTAAGGTTTCAATTTACACATACTTTTCAGCGGTCAACTTAAAGACTTTTAAGCCTAAAACTATATTTGGATAAAATTTGGGAGCTGACATGAATGAAAATAAAATTTTAGAGAGAAATGAGATTAAAGTGAAATTTCCAATGGTTAAAAGAAATGTATTTATGTATTTTGTAAGTCAGTATTGGTAGGCATAAAATCACCATGGTATTTAAATCCCATTGCTTAACGTTAAGTTAGAGATGTAATAGTTTTATTTTAAATGTCTATAATATCCCACAAATGACAACTTTACGAACTATAAAACTTACAATGAAAAATTTTACACAACAGTTTAAAGTGTATGAAGAAGTAGAGTTCTTAATATAGACAGATAGAGAACTGGATCCAAAAATATCTGAGATCACTGATGCAGAAAGTGAGTAGTCTACTGGGGTGTTCTGAGATGTGACAACACACTCTGGACATTTTAAGTTTTCCAGATGCTCTGAGGACTCAATTTATCTGTTTAATAGTGCTGAGGTATCAGACACTGCAGCACTAATTTACTTATATTTTTCCACTATTTTAAAATAATATTCACTGAACCAGCTGGTTAAGTACACATGAGTTTAAATGATCCCACTACAACTTTGCGTCTCGGGGGAATACAGAATCGGCTGGCATCAAAGGAAAGCTGTGACCACATGTGAGAACAGTTTCTTATGTCCTTCCTGATTTTTTTCATTAATCATCTCACCATTGTTTCTCTGCTTTTCCTAAAACATTCTTCTTCTTCATTCTTTCTTTCCACTTGCCTTCTCATCAGAGGAAAGCATAATTAAACCAATTGAAAAACTATCATGCAATGAAAGTTTTCCTGAAAAATTAGAGGAACCACAAGGTAATTTCTGGGCATTGTAGATGAGTACAACTTGTTCTTTGAATATCTTGTCCAATTTTCTTTTCCACATTTGCCCTGAATCCTGTCATACAAGGCCACTATGAAGGTCAACCAAGGTCGCCTGCTTTTAGAAATTAGACCAGAGCTGGGAGAAAGAAAAGCACTCCACGTCATCAAGAACACCGTTCTTGGGGCACCTGGGTGGCTCAGTTGGTTGGGCAACTGCCTTCGGCTCAGGTCATGATCCTGGAGTCCCAGGATCGAGTCCCACATCGGGCTCCCTGCTTGGCAGTGAGTCTGCTCTCCCTCTGAGCTCTCTACTCTCACACTCTGTCTCTCAAATAAATAAATAAATAAATAAATTAATTAAAAAAAAAAAGAACACCGTTCTTTAGCAGTCAGGTTTCTAAACTAACTTGCTCTTAAAGCTCTAAGCTCATCTTCTTAAATTAATAATGACACTTTATATAAATGAAACAAATCTACTGAGAGTAAGAATTAAAAGACTATTTTCTAATTTGTAATCAGTATTCCTGGAAAATCTTTTTTAAAGTTCTGAAACTCATTTCTTACACATTAATAATCACTTAAAAATTAACCAGGTTAATAGAAATGGTGGATTTCCTAGAGATTCACTGTTGCTGGTTTAAACAGTGCTAACTATTGGCTTCAGCCTGAAACTTTGAAGCTCACAAGGTACTTCTAAATAAGCCAAAATAATGAATTTTTTGTTCATTTTTCCTTGCAACTTTCTCCCTACAGCCCATTACCTGCTCAGCTCATGGCTTTTAGAATCTGACCTATCCCATCCCCATTCTGTCACTCAGTAGCCTTGTGATTGCGGACAAGTCAATTAGGCTCCCTAAGTCAGTTTCCCTGTGTAGCAAATGAAGGACATGATATTTACCAAGGTATTACTATATAGCCATCCCTAGGATTTTTGTCACCGTAAGCATGTAGCATCTGCTCTGAGGAGGCGGAGGAGAGCCGGAGCTGCCGCTGAATGGGATCACTGCCGTGAACTGCCTTTCAAAAATCTTTTGACGTAAAAGGCTGACTAGTGATTTAGAAATGGGTACTCAAGAGCTAAAAGAAAGGTCAAATTAGGCAGTTGTGCATATGCAGAATTCTGTAGTGCTAAAAACTGTACAAACTGACGTGTTCACTGTCTGAAGTCTCACTTCTGCGGTGACGCTGCTGTTTGGCATTTGTTGGTTCAAGAGCACACACTTACTGAGGGCCTCCTGTGCAGAGCACTGTGACAGACGTCAGGGACAAGAGGTTCAGAGGCCAGACTTGTGAACCAGTAGCGCTGTAAGAGATGCTTCAGTCATAGCTCACCATCACCGTCAGAGTCCTGGTCTACCACCTTGCTGACAAATGTGTCTCCTTTCCTGCATAGCGAGGCTCCTTGAAAGAAAATTATATTCCTTTTCCTCTTATTTCCAGTTTGCTTCTCAGCTCACTGTAGTCTGTCCTCACCTGGACTCAGGCCACTGAAACCGCTCCTGCCAGGTCCTGACATGATCCTAGGGGCCAGATCCCACAGCTGGGCTAATCCCATCAGATCGCTGCCTCCTTCGGTCTTCCTCCTTTCTTCACACACTGTGTGCTCCTGGATGTTCAGATCCTGCTCATCCTATCATCGACCACCCTCTCTCTTCCCTTTCCTCTGCAGGTCCTCTTCTTTCCTATCTCCTAATGCTGGTGTTCCCTGGGCCTCTGTTCTGGACCTTTGCATATCCCACAAGCCCTCCAAGCTGGCTCCTCCAAGCCATAGCCCCGTAACCGCCATACCTGGCTAATTCTGTCTCCAGGCCCATTTAACCATAACTCCGGTATCCCACAGGCACCATGTCTTTCCAACAAACCTGTAACTGTTCTTAGTCACCTAAGATACAAACTGAGGGGTTTGTATTCCTCTTTCCCTACCCCGCCTACCCCATACACCCACTTAGTCCTCTTCTCCATTGCCTTTGTGACTCCCTTAGTTCAGACTCTCATCTCAGCTCGAGCAGTGACCTGCCTTTAGCTTTTCCCCCTTCAGCCCATCACTCTACTGCCCCAAGGCCGATCATTCACTAACAGTGATGAGGATGAGGTTGATGACAGCTGACATTTACTGAACACCGGATTCTATGCTAAGTGCTTTGCATACATTTCATTCACTCTCTACAGCAACCCTATGAGAACAGGTACAGTTACTATAGTGATTTTACAGAATGAAGAAAAGCAGAGAGCACAGGAGGGCCGGGGGCCTCCTGGCAGGAAACACACTCAGGTTAAGAAAGAAGTCATTTAAAAAAAAAAAAACAAAAAACTGGTATGTTCAGGGCAGACAGCCTTGGGTTCACATTCTAGCTTGGTCACTTACGGTGATCCTTTAAGCAGGTTCTAAGAGCCACAAGGTGTGGATAAAATAGGCATGTAAAGGGGCATTATACGGACTCAACAGGATTATCTGTAAAGCTATTATGCAGCGCTTGAAATAGAGTCAATACTCGAAAAACGGAATCCAGAATTGGGAGGGGTGTAGTATTTGTTACTCTTTGGTGCTTTAAAATATTCACCTTCTGACTATGAAACTTTATGATGCGTCACCAGGAAATCTTGGAAGCTATGCTACTTACAATCAGTCAGGATATATTCCTTCCTTTCTCAAAAAAGAAGTGGGCTCAGCTGGCCAGAGGATACACTTAGCACCTCTCAGTGCAACAACGTCAGGTAAGAACAACTTTATAGTTTTTGAGATTTCTGATCAGAAAGGAGCTCTTTTGAAGTTTATACCATCACTTTCCCCAAGTGAAGACTTTTAAATCAGTCTCATTAACACAGTTCTAATCGTTTTTGGCAAAATGTCCTTTCTTCTTCTGAAGCTGTGGTCTGAGGGTCTGTCCTAAGTGCTCCCTCTGCCTAAATGGCTCCTCTCTGCCAGGAACACATTATGCCGTTTACTCTTCACAAGACTGGACGAGGGAGCCCTTCTACAGAGGAGGAAACTGACATGAAGCAGTTTACCTAGGGTCACACAGCTGGTCAACGGTGCGGCCGGGACAGCAACTGGGTCTGGGTAATTCCAAGGAACATGCTGTGCTAGCCAACGAGACGGAAGATGGCATCCTTCAGAGCTTCCCACCTGGCACCTAGCCCAGAGGGGAAGTTTAACCAATGCTGAGACACTACCCGTGTGCCATTTCCTCTGCAGTTCCACTGTACTGAACCGAATGGTGGCGGGACTTCCACACCACACTGGCTTTGCAACAGTGAGTGGTGAAGGATTGATTCCTCCGTAGCGTGGCAGGACAGCCACGTTCAGGGGTATGCCCTTGATCATCAGGGTCGGGATTCTCCCATCCAAGTACTAACCAGGCCCGACCCTGCTTAGCTTCCAAGATCAGATGAGATGGGGTGCGTTCAGGGTGGTATGGCCAGAGACCAGGGTCATGATTCTGTACTTGAGCTTGACTAGATCTGGCTGTGAACATTCTCGAAATTATTCTAATCTAAAATAGAGGTCCTCATGAAAGTGCCTAAAGGCGAAGGCAGATAGAAGTTTGGTAAGATACAAAGTTGTAGTGTAATAGCGAAGTTCACTTGAAAAGTAATCTTGGGTTGTGTCCTAGCCAGGGGCTTATGTTAGAACTCCTGATCCAAGCTGCCAGTCTTTAAAGGTCACACTGTTGGAGCTAAAACTGTAAAAAGCACTGGACGTCTATAATTTACTCTCCCTTAACACAGAGTAGAAATAAATAGTACTTAGTTACCTTATCTGTGAAGAATTGCTTCCTTATCCCTCTGCTGAAACAAAATATGTAAGTGAACACTTGATATACAGCTATGTTGTTTTGTTTTTTTTTTTTTTCAAAGCCTCAGGTATTTTAAGCCAACCTTATGGTAAGTCACCAGCCATGGCTTAATAGCAATTTTTAAAATAAAAGCAGAAAATCATAATGTATCAAATTATTTTGTTATCTGAGTACCTGCTCTTACAAAGTGAAAGTAGGTGTCTTTAAGACTATTTTTAGGGACGCCTGGGTAGCTTAGTGGGTTAAGCCTCTGCTTTCGGCTCAAGTCATGATCCCAGGGTCCTGGGATAGAGTCCCGCATGGGCTCCTTGCTCAGCAGGGAACCTGCTTCTCTCTCCGCCTCTGCCTGCCTCTCTGCCTGCTTGTGTGCTCTCTCTCTCTCTCCTTCTCTCTGACAAATAAATAAATAAAATTTTTTTTAAAAAGACTATTTTTATAAGATACTGAAGGCCTTTACATGTTAAGTATTCTGTCAGATTAGCATGCATAGTCCTATCTACATTTTTTTAGTAAATGCTTTCTCACAACTTTTTATCTCTTCATTTACTCTGCTCATCAGATTTTCCTACAGATGGTGGTAGGAGGATAGGTAAAAAAAAAGAAGTAAATATTAATCATTCTCGTGGTCAAGGCAAATGCTTAGGAAACCACTGTTCTGTAAGAGATGAGTCCTCCAGCACTCCCACCCGGGTGGCAGTTTCCCACAAGAAAACAAAACCAGGTCATTACATTTTTTACTCAACTATTTCCCCTTCTCATGTAGCCTGCCTCCCTCTCTGCTCCTCCTTGTCCTCACTCTCATGTTTTGAGAAGAAAATGCAAATTAATTGCTTCCAGCTTTCCCATGTAATCTCCCATCCCAGACTTCCTAACGCCGTCACCTCCCCTTGCTCTGACGGTAACAAGGACTTTAAGGAGGGACTTCTTTCCTGGACAGCCACCCTTTACAAGGGCAGGGAGGGCCCTGATCTAAGTGCACTACATTCATTAACTTGACTACAGAAAGTACTATTATCATGATCTGTTTTACAGAGGTTCTGTTTCTTGCTAAAAATGACACAGTGGTGGCACTGATTAAATTCTTAACTACAGGTGAACATCTTTCCTTCAGCACACATTATTTTTTACAAGAAGTTAAATGCCCCTGATAGGACACATGTGGTTCTTAAATGCACAGCAAACCTTAGAGGCTTGTCTGCCCCATGCTCAGGACGTGCGGGGTCTGGTCTGACAAAGACACAAAAGCATTTCTTGCCCTCCCACAAGATCTCGGATCCTTTGTCAGGGCCTAAGTTCTTCAGCAACGGTGCTTGAATCCTAAAACTATTATCTTTCAGATAGGAATCTAAATGTCAACACTATACCCTTCTTGGCAAAACAATCCCCTCTTCCAAGAAGGTTTTAAAAGTATCTGCCTGGACAGGGTTTCAAATTCATTTAGGACTTGACGTAGCTATGTCATGGCCTGGAGAAAAAGCTGTTACTCCCCAAATCCCTCATTTTGTATCCCAAGGGCCTCACCCTATTAGCCGAAGGGTTTCTCTGAATCACCAGGGCTTATGGCCTATCTCCCTCCCCTCCTACCCTCCCACCAGTGCTATCATCCATGCCCAGTACCATTTTGGCCTATAGACCTCAGGTTTGGGTTCACAAATTTAACACACTGGCGCTTTTCTACACTCCCATGGGTTAGAAGTAAAGGGCCATTCCTGGAAAACTTGGTTAGTGGTTTCATCAGTTTTTCCTTAACAGTTAAGGGTTGACTGGCTCTTCTAAACACTTTGTCCCTGCTTCATTAGGTAGCTTTCTATTAGCTTTAACCCGGAGAACTTTAAACCTGGTAAGAGTGAGAGGACAGGACAGGGTGTTCCCTGGGCAGTTCCTCACTTAATGCTATTCCCCGTTGAGCGGAGGTCAGAGGGACAATGGACCCATACTGCTCCTATAATGTTCCCTCTACTCCCAGGTTTAGAGAAAGTATAGATATAAACAACAACAAAAACAGGGAAACCATGTATGTGAATATGGCATAGTGCTAGGTGTACAAAAGGGTTAGACTCATTTCAAAATTGACACTTAGGATTTTAATCCAAGTGTGACAGCCACCACACAGTGTGAAAAGATACTTAAATCTCAAATGGACAGATCAAACATCCTCTTGAGAGAGAAGACCTGACAATCCGCTGTAAATGTGAAGTGAGGGTGGGTGAGTGAAGGACTGGAGAAGAGACTGAAGTTCTCTACAAAATGATTTACTGCTTTGTCATTGAGATGTTTAAGCAAGTGTAGCTTGTAAATTGTTCAGGTAACAACAAATATTTAACAAATTAAAATTTCACAAAGGTTTGGGATCTTAGGAATGGCTCACCTTTTAAAGGAATTGTTTTCATCCATCATTTTCCCAATTAAAAAAATGAAGTTTCTTGCCTCTAAAGACCCCATTTTCATGTTTAAAAGAGATCTACAATGGGATCCCATCCCTGGAGCTCCATGAGGCCAGAGACTTATAGGATTCATAATTGCAAATAAATTTTCTGTAGTGGGTATTACATTTGAGTATTAGATGTAACCACTGTGTGACTTTACAAAGTCACTGACACTGTGGGTACTACCTGTTGAACCTGACCCAGAATTTCTTGGTCATCCTGGTTGATGTTGCCTACCTAAATGTGTTAAGGCATTTGAGTAAACCCAAAAAAGAAGTGGCAGCAGTATCAGAACTGTAAACCAGAAATATTGGCTCTTAAGCTACTAAGAACTCTTTATCAACAGAAGAGTATACTAGAATTTTTAGTTGTAATATTTAAAAAAAACATTAGAGACCACTGAACTAATCTTTTAAAGATAAACTCTGGATTCCCCCATAAAATAAAAAAGATAAATTCCCTGATTTTAAATTTGTTAATGAAATGAATAAAATTCCAACTTCCAATTCTTATTTCTTCTAGAATATACCTGGAACACAAAACCTGGTCGGGGGCAGTTTTCAGGACGTACTTACAATCCTACGGCCAAGAATCTAAATATTGTGAACCGTGCACAGCCGGTTCCCTCGGTGCATGGAAGGACAGACTGGGTGGCTAAGTATGGCGGCCACCGGTAGGAGTCTCGTGTGAAGCCCCGCAGCACCGCTCCAAGGAGCCCTGCAAGTCCCCTGACCCTAGGAAATGTCTACCGATGTCATGTCTATTTCTACTGAGTTCTGGAAGAAATATGCAGTAGTGGGTACTTTGAAGAGCAAAAACCATCTCCGATTTTCTTTCCTAGAAATGAAATGCATATTCTTAGCATTGGTTGCCCACAGTGCTGATATACGGGTAGGACTTTACAAAGTATTGAATAAACTATTTGCCAAAGTATCAAGTATTTGATCTACAAATTAATAGTTACTAAGTATGATAAGAATCTTTTTTCTTTAAAAAGGCCTTCAGAAAGTGTTTAGAGTGTTTCATCTGTTTTTGCTAAACTAATTTAAAATTTCCTCAGTTGGCCTCAAAGGATTGTTTTTTTAATAGCAATTAGGTGGACTTCTGTGGGCTGTCAGTTATGGTTCTTATCTGGCTAAGGCTCCCCCCTACCAGTTTGGCAATGGCAAAAGATACTCATTTATCATATGCTTTTCTACTTTGAAATTATGGAAGCGATGGTTAATTCCATCTTGAGCAGGATATCTTTCCTAGGAATAAATTTATCTTTAATAATAAAGATCTCAAAATTATGTCACCCAATTTTAGTGGAGAGTCTGTTGTTTGATTTTGACCAACACAACTCCCATGAATTCAGGGTGACTATCAAACCCAATGGCTTGAAGACTCCCAGATAACCAAGTCAAGGTTCTCTCATCTTCACATCATTAAGAAAGTTCTTGAAACTGTGATGTATGTTCACCATACTTTGAAAGTTTTTTTCATATATTTCATATATTCATATATATTTGAAAGTTCACTTTCAAAATACTTTGCTTCCATGTTCCTACTAGACACAAAAATGAGGTGTGCCAGCTTGTCCCCCAAAGCAAACTGCTGCTGCTGCAGATCACTGACCTGGCTCTGACCTTGACATTAACTCTGAAGAGCAAATGCATTCAGTTGCTATAGCAGTGATTTCACTTAGTACAATTTTTTTTTCCTTTAATTTCTAAACTGGTACTTAAAATACACATTTTGAACTAGGGACTACTCTATTTAAATCTGCCATTTTATGGACTGGACATTAGTACTGTATATTCTTTTTAAAGAATAATAATGTTATCAACTGCTATTTTTATGTATTTTCTGACTTTGTAACAAATCCTAATGTAATTGGTATCATCTTGTGGACATTATCCAAAGACATCATAAAATGATAGTAATATGGCATTTTTGTATAGAAGATGCAGCTCACCTTGTTGAAAAATGTTAAAATCTGAAGTTATTTATGTTGATGGTAATGATTATATATATTTGTACAGTTCTAATTAATGTCTCAAAGCTAAAAAATTATTTTGTGTTACTGGGAAGCTTTTATACTTCTCAAGAGATATTAAAATAAATATGGTTAACTGGTATGTTTTCTTTATACTTTTAAACTTTATACTCTGAGGGCTATTTGTCATTTTCATTATAGACTTTTGTTTTTCTAGCAGTTTTAGGTTTATGGAAAAATTCTCTGCAAAGTACAGTTTCCATATACCCCCCTTCAGGCCCCTCCCCAAATTTTCCCTATTATTAACATCTTGCACTAGTGTGGGACATTTGCTGGAACTGATGAGCCAGTATCAGTACAACTTTAGTCCATTGTTGACATTAAGGTTCATGCTTTGTGTTGTATATTCTGTGAGTTTTGACAAAATACATGGCATGTATCCGCCATTACAGTATCCTAGAAATTAGTTTCATTGTCCTAAAAATCCCATGTTCCACCCATTCATCCTTCTCTCTCACCCCCAAACCTCTAACAACCCACCAATCTTTTCATCTCCACTGGGCTCCTGTTCCAGAATGTCACATAGCTGGAATCATACACCAGCGTCTTTCATTTAGCAAGATGCATTTAAGTCTTTTCCATGTCTTTTCTTAGCTCGATAGCTCATGTCTGTTTATTTCTAACTAATACTTCATGGTATATATGCACCACAGTTTGTTTATCCATTCACCTACTGAAGAACATCTTGTTTTGAAGTCTGGGCAATTATGAATAAAGCTGCTCACCCCAGTAGCAATCTAGCATCCAGATCTTGAATTCTAATACCACCATCCAGTAAAAGGAACCAGGGCTTTCTGGAGAGATGGCTGATTCTAGTACTAAGCATGAAATAAACAAGCTGATACTGGAGATCTTATAGTGTTAGAAAGTAACAGTTACAAAAAACAAAAACAAAAAGCCAACAAGCAGAAGCAGCCCACACTGATGGGCTAGGTAAAAGACATAGGAGCTCCTAACGGAAGAGCTTCTAATGGCCCAAACTGCAACAATTTGAGAAAGAAAATGAAGAAGTAATTGTATTATAACCCAAAGTGGGAAATACATATCCTGGAGTCCATACTGATATAAATAAGTAAATAACTGAGTAGGGAAAAGAGACAAATCTCCTATGCAGAATCCCAAATAATTTTATATAGACACTCTGCCCTCAAGGAGGAAGAATACAACTCCCTAGTCCTTAAGTACAGAATGTGCACAGTGACTTCCTTTCAAAGAGTACAGTATGGGAAGGGGGGAAGAGGAATAACTTCACAGTGGGGAAGCCTGACTGAATACTACCTGAAGCCAGATGATCAAGGTCAACAACAATAATACCTCGTTCATATATGTCACCTTAATATTCTGTGATGAAAACAGCATTTTAACTCTGTGGTCTTCCTCCTAAAATTTCCTAACTCCAGACTAACCATAAGGGAAACACTAGACAAATTCTAACAGAAAAGCATTCTACAAAAGACTTGGTCTGTACTCCTCAAAACTATCAGAGTCATCAAAAACAAGGCAAATCTGAGAAACAGTCATAGCCAAGAGAGCTTAAGGAGACATGACATCTCATTGTAACATGGGATCTTAGATGAGATCCCATAAAAGAAAAACAGTATCAGTTTTTAAGAACTTAGAAAATCTGAATAAAATAAGGACTTCAATTAATTTACCAATATTGATTCATAAGTTCTAACAATTATTTCATGCTAACCTAAGATGATAATGATAGGGAAAATTAGGTGTGGGGTATGTGGGAACTCTGTACTGTCTTCTCAAAATGGTCCTAAAAAGTGTATTTTTAAAAAGAAGATTTGATCAATTTATAAATGCAGCAATATTTACTAAATGCCTACTAAGTACTAAGTATAGTATATACAGTAGTGACAAAATGGTCATTTTCTCTGACCTCACAGAACAAATATTCTGGAGGTAGACATTAAATAAACACATATGACATCGTATACTGGCAAACTATGATGGGGTTAAGAAAAAAAAAGGACATTATGGAGACTAAAGAAGAAATCTACATGTTGAGAGACAACCGAATGGTTTTAAGTGTAAGGGTCAAAATATACTTGAAATATATGCCTCACCTGCTGGGTAGAGAAAGAATTGTTGAGCCCAACCATGAAAACAATGAGTCCTACTAGAAAATTAAAAAATGGTGAGGCTTAGACTTCTGTATTGGCAATAATATGGAGCAGAGTAAGTATGACTGTTAATAGAAAGCTACTGGGTTTTAGTGTTACTCTTTCCTGCTGCTTTACAGAACTTTCTCATTAGTTCAGTATGCTTTTAACTGCTTGTCTTGGGTTTTCTAGATAGATAAATATATTAACTGTTTAAAATGTTTAATTTCTTAATTTTTCCAGCACTTATACTTATTTATTTCTCATTGTTTTATTGTTTTGTCTGGTGTCTCTAGAACAATGTTGATCTTGTCAGTAGCAGCAAATATATGATTATTTTTAACTTTAACATAGAGCCACAAGACTAAATAAATGGTAGCTAATAAGAACCTAAGGCACATAATATGCTCGAGTCAAAAAGTACTTATATTACTGTCAAATTAAATTTGCTCAGACTGTTACCTAATTTAAAAATACATATGAAAAAGGTTCTATTTATCATAGTAACAAAAGCTAAAATATCCTACAATCTTAACAGAAATACAAAAAACTAAATGAATGTAACTCTAAAATATGAAGATATTAGAAACAAAACAACCAGAAAACAATGTACAAAATGGTAACAAGGATGTATCAATAATTACTTTAAGTTACTTTAATTGGCCTTAATGCTCCAATCAAAACACACATGGTGAAAAGATTAAAAACAACAACAACAACAACAACAAAAAACCACACAGGGTGGCTGAATGGATAAAAAAAAAAAAAAACAAGACCCATCTTACTGTCTACAAGAGACTCAGTTCAGATCTAAAGACACATGCAGACTTAAAGTGGAGATGGAAAAGATATTCCATGCAAATGGAAAGAAAAAGCTAGAGTAGCAATACCTACCAGACAAAACTTTTAAAGCAAAGACTGCAACAAGTGTTATTACATAATGATGAAAAGTGTCAATCCAAGAAGAGGATAGAACATTTGCAAATATTTACATACCTAACACAGGAGTACCTAATATGTAAAGCAAATATTTTAACAGACATAAAGAGGGAAACTAACAATAATACAGTAATAATGGAAGACTTTAATATCCCACTTACATTAATAGATCATCAAGACAAAAAAAGTCAAAAGTAAGTAAGGAAAAACTGTCCTTAAGTGACAGATCAAACCAAAGAGACTTATTAGATATACACAGAACATTTAATCTTCAAGCTGCAGAATACACATTCTTTTCAAGTGCACATTAAACATTCTCCAGGATCACAGTAGGATCTCATGAGACCACAAAACAAGTCTCAATAAATTTAAGACTTAAATCATATCAAACATCTTTTCTAAGCACAATGAAGCTAGAAATCAATTATAAAAATAAAATTGAAAACAGGGGTGCCCGGGTGGCTCAGTGGGTTAAGCCTCTGCCTTCAGCTCAGGTCATGATCTCAGGGTTCTGGGATCGAACCCCACATCAGGCTCTCTGCTCAGCAGGAAGCCTGCTTCCCCCTCTCTCTGCCTGCCTCTCTGCCTACTTGTGATCTCTATCTGTCAAATAAATAAAATCTTTTAAAAAAATAAATAAAAAATAAAATTGAAAACAAAAAACCCACAAGACATGGAGACTAAACAGTATGCTACTAACAACCAATGGGTCAACAGAAAAAGAGAAAAATCAAAAAATACCTTAAGACAAGTGAAAATGGAAACCAGACTTTCCAAAATCTACGGGACACAGAAAAAGCAATTTTAAGAGAAAAGTTTATAAAAATAAGCAAGAAATAAAAATCTCAAATAAATAATCTAACTTTACACCTAAAGGAACTAGAAAAAGAACAACAACAACAAAAAAGCCCAAAGTTAGCAGAAGGAGGGAAATAATAAAGATCAGAATGGAAATAAATGATCTAGGGAGAGAGGAAGGAAGAATGAGAGAGAGAAATGGAAGGGAAGAAGGGAGGGAGGGAAGGAGAGAAGGAAGGAAGAAGAAAAGAAAAAAAAATTATGAAGCTAAAAGCTGGTTCTGTGAACAGATAAACAAAATTGGTAAGCCTGTACCCAGACTCATCAAGATGAAAGAGACCAAATAAATAAAATCAGAAATGGAAAAGAAGTTAAACTGATACTACAGAAATACAAAGGATCATAAGAGACTTCTAAAATTATATACCAACAAACTGGAAAGCCTAGAAGAAAGGGACAAATTCCCAGAAACACACAACCTTCCAAGACTGATAATGAAGAAATAGAAAATATGAATAGACCAATTACAAATAATGGAATCAAAACAATTTAAAAACCACCCAAAACAAAAGTCCAGGACCAGACAGCTTCACAGATGGATCCTACCAAACATTTAAACAAGAGTTAGTGGGGCACCTGGGTGGCTCAGTGGGTTAAGCCGCTGCCTTCGGCTCAGGTCATGATCCCAGGTCCTGGGTTCAAGCCCCGCATCGGGCTCTCTGCTCAGCAGGGAGCCTGCTTCCTCCTCTCTCTCTGCCTGCCTTTCTGCCTACTTGTGATTTCTCTCTGTCAAATAAATAAATAAAAAATCTAAAAAAAAAAAAAAATAAGACTCATTTAAAAAAAAAAAATAAAAAAATAAACAAGAGTTAGTAACTATCCTTCTCAAATTATTTCAAAACACTGAAGAGGAAGGAGCACTTCCATACATTTTATGAGGCCGGCATATCACTTAAACCAGACAAAGACATTACAAAAGAAAATTGTAGGCTAAGAGCCCTGATGAACAAGGATGAAAAAATGCTCAAAAATGATCAGGAAACTGAATTCAACAATACAAAGGACCATACACCATGATCAAGTAGGATTTACGCCAGGGATACGAGAACGGTTTCAACATCCTCAAATCAATCAACATGACACATGTTAACAGCAACAACAAAAAAAAAGGATAAAAATCATAAGATCATCTCAACAGATGCAGAAAAACCATTTGACAAATTCAACATCCATTCATGATTAAAAATGATTAAAACTGTCAACAAAGTGGGTATAGAGGGAACAAACCTAAACAGAATGAAGTCCATATATGTCAACCCACAGCTATCACCATGTTCAACAGCAAAAAAGTAAAAGCTTCTCTAAGACAAGGAATGAGACAAGAATGCCCACTCTTACCACTTTTTTATTTTAATTTCTTTTCAGTGTAACAGTATTCATTGTTTTTGCACCACACCCACTGCTCCATGCGATCCGTGCCCTCTCTAATATCCACCACCTGGCTCCCCCAACCTCCCACCCCCCGCCCCTTCAAACCCCTCAGATTGTTTTTCAGAGTCCTAGTCTCTCATGGTTCACCTCCCCTTCCAATTTCCCTCAACTCCCTTCTCCTCTCCATCTCCCCTTGTCCTCCATGCTATTTGTTATGCTCCACTAATAAGTGAAACCATATGATAATTAATTCTCTGCTTGACTTATTTCACTCAGCATAATCTCTTCCAGTCCCGTCCATGTTGCTACAGAAGTTGGGTATTCATCCTTTCTGATGGAGGCATAATACTCCATAGTGTATATGGACCACATCTTCCTTATCCATTCGTCTGTTGAAGGGCATCTTGGTTCTTTCCACAGTTTGGCGACCGTGGCCATTGCTGCTATAAACATTGGGGTACAGATGGCCCTTCTTTTCACTACATCTGTGTCTTTGGGGTAACTCTTACCACTTTTATTCAACATATAGTGCTGGAAGTCCTAGCCACAGCCATTAGGCAAGAAAAAGAAATCAAAGGCATCCAAATTGGAAAGGAAGAAGTAAAACTATCACTAGTTGTAGATGACATGAAATTATACATAGAAAATGCCGAAGACTTCACCAAAAAACTATTAGAACAAATGAATTTCAGTTAAGTTGCTGAATACTAAACACATAAAAATCAACTGTACTTTTGTACAAACTAACAACAAGCTATCAGAAAGAAACTTAAAAAACAATCCCATTTATAAGTGCATCAAAAAAAAAAAAAGTGCATCAAAAAAAAGAATAAAATACCCAGGAATAAAACCAAGGAGGTGAAAGACTTGTACCTATAAGATACTGATGAAAGAAACAGAAAATGACATAAATAAGTAACATATACTAGGCTCATAGATTGGAAGAATTACATTGTTAAAATGTCCTTACTACCCAAAGCAATCTTAGCAATTCAACGCAATCCTCATCAAAATATTAAATGTATAATTCGTGGAACTAGAACAAAGAATCCTAAAATTTTTATGGAACTACAAGACCCCAAACAGCCAAAACAGTCTTGAGAAAGAAGAAAGCTGGAGGTAAGGTCCCTGATTTCAAACTATACCACAAAGCTACAGTAACCCAAACAGTATGGTACTAGCACAAAAACAAATACATAAATCAACAGAATAGAGAGCCCAGAAACAAACACACACACATATGGTCAATCTATGACAAATGAGGCAAGAACAGACAATGGGTAAAGGACAGTCTCTTCAAAAAACTGTGCTGGGAAAACTGGATAGCTACATGTGAAAGAATAAAACTGGATTTCTATTTTATACCATATACAAAAATAAATTAAATATAGATTAAAGACAAACATAAAACCTGAAACCATAAAATTCCGAGAACACCACCTAGGCAGTAAGCTCTTTGACATCAGTCTTAGCAATATTTTTTAGACCAGTTTCCTATTCAAGAGCAGCAAAAGCTAACACAAATAAATGGGATTACATCAAACTAAAAAAGCTTTTGCAGAGAAGGAAACCAACAAAATGAAAAGGCAATCTAATGATGGAGGAAGATATCTGCAGCAAATCATGTATCTGATTAACACGTTAATATCTAAAACACATAAAAATCTTCTACAGCTTAATATCGAAACACTAATCTAATAAAAAACAAGCAGCACTTGAGTAGACATTTTCCCAAAGACATACAGATGGCCAACAGACACATGAAAAGACGCTCAACAGCAATAATCATCAGGGCCGTGCAAATCGAAATCACAATGAAATATGATACCCGTCAGGAGGGCTTGTATTAAAGAGAAAAAAAATAACAAGTGTTGGTGAGGAGGTCAAAATGTAAACTGGTGCAGCCTCTATGAAAAACAGTATGGAGGTTCCTCAAAATATTAAAAATAGAACTACCATGCAACCCTGCAATTCCACTTCTGGGTACTTACACAAAAACCCCAATCTCAAGAGATTTATGTACCCCTATGTTCACTGCACCATTATTTATAATAGCTAAGATATGCAAGCAACCTAAATGTCAAGACAATCACGGAAAGGCTAGCTTAGAACCCAAAATGTATCTGATCAATTAATAGACGAGTATTGCCTTTTTATTTAATTATTTTCTGTGCCTCTGCTCTTATAGTTCGTATGACTGAAACACCTGGGGAACAAGAAGTGAGAACTAGTGTTCACTTCTACCTGGCCCTCACACAGCAGGGTTTTGGGGCGGGGGGGGGGGGAATAAAGGTTAGCTCCATGAACAAGGATAATACACAAACTGGTCCTCACTGCTCAAGAGAACACCTGGGCCACCTACGGCATTCTGACCTTTGTAACCCTACCTATATCCAGTTATTTTTCCCAAACACATGTCCATAAGAATCAGTTTTTAAAATATCAAGAAGATCATGCAATGTTCTGCCTACTTGGTTTTTTGTCCATTTTCCTTTAGACTGTACAGGACTAATGTTTGAGAAGTTCACAATAATCTGATTCACCAGGGCATGAAGTCATACCACAGACCAATTAGCTATTTATAAATGGATCGGTCCTTATAATTTAAACCATGAATTTGGTACAACTACATGATAAAAAGGCAACTACTAACTATGCCAGGAACCACGGAACATTTTTTATTTAATCAAGCATTCACAAGTATGTGACATTAAGCGCCAACCCTTTCCTATTTAGGAGTAGTTATTATTAATAGTGTGTGCAAGAAAAAGACATGAAGTCTCAGTAGGTCAAAAGTTTAATGAGTTATTGCTGTGATGAGGCAATCCAAAAATCTGATTTTGATCCCAGCTGTATTAACAGAAATGCATAGTCTAGAATACACTACCCAGTCACACCCATCTTGTGCAGAGCTCTGGGCATTACCTGTTTAAGAATGGACCCTAGCAGACATGTAAAAACCATGTCACATTAAACGAGGATGAGAAAACCAGGACTCCTTTCAAAAAGAGTTTAAGAAAACATAAACTTGATTAATAAGAGCCTAAATTATACTACAGATCCAACCGATACCAGTTAGGGAGGAGGTAAGCAGCAAATATCCCTTGTCTTTTGAAACTGGAGAAAACTAAAGCAAGGAGTACCAGAATGAGTTAATGCTCAGTGCCGCTGAAAACAAAAGAAAGGGAGGTGGAAATGTGTCAGTGTCCCCTTAATGTTGTAGAGACCACACCTGGTAATTCAAGTATCAGGTGGTTTAGTTTCATACTTAAAGAATAGCTAGTTAACCATATTTTCATTTTTCTTTTTTTTTTTTGTTACACAGTCCTAATCTTAGAAATCCTCACTAAGGGATCAGTTCTAAAACAAGCAGCAATGCAATGTATAATCAAATCATAACTTTCCTTGGTCCTTATTCAAAATAGGTAATTACGAAATAAAATATTAACAGAAGACTTTCACATTCCTATAGTTTCCTGTTATTCAGATCTCATTCTACATCTAGACAGCTCTGGCAACGAAGACACCATAGAAAGAATTACTTACAGTAAACTTTATTTTCATTGATATTTCATTTGACATAATTCCAAAGTAGGTCTGTGCTCTAGGATGAGCCAAAGAACAAAAATCCTAAAGCTCTTGAGACTTTTCATACTGTTCTGAGTAGGGCATGGGGTTTCAAGGCCCCCAATGCTGATACCTAACATTTTACCCCTTGTGACTTTACCCACAGGTACATAAAGAAGAGATAACACCACGTACAAGAATCAAACTGTACGAGAATACATAAGAAGCTCTTGGGTTACATACCACGACCTCTTTAAGGTTGTAATGATAATGACTGATTTCTTCTGGAAAGTTCAATATTATTTTTGTTGTGTTTCATTAAGTAAAATGTCAGAGTATGTTAAAATGCTGCACTTGTTTCTCTTAATACACTAAAAATAGTGGAAGTTTTTAAATTCTTCATGAGTCCAAGCGGGACATGGCTACTACTGATGGGGTCTATTCAAAAAACTAACTCCAAGTTTGGCGACCATCAGCAAACTGTTCAAAAGAAACACATAAACAAAAAACATCAGGTAAAGGACAGAACAGGCACTTGACTATTTTTTCAAGAACTAAAACTGCAGGTCCTTCAAAACCACATGGTGAGGAGATGCCAAGGCAGAGCAGGCACAGGTGAACCTCCATTCCTGGAAGTACCAGAGGAGTAACATGCCAAGGGGCAGTCTTGCACCCCACTTGCCTTAAAATAGTACATGTGAATCAGGAGCTCCTCATCTAACAGCCAATAATTCAAAGAGATGAGCAAACTGAAGCCTGGGAAGACCAAGGTCTCTCCAGGGTCACAGACCTGGATCATGGTACACTTCCAGTCTCCCAGTTCACTGCTCTTGACCTTGGTCTACACGGACTATAAAGCATTATGCTTGACAGCATCATAACTATTATCAAGGTCAGGTAAGGATCTTCTTCCAGATATTTAAAAATTCTGTTCTCAGAGTATCTGTATTATACTTAAGGAATATGGTTTTTTTTTTTAAATAATCTGGTTTCAGACAATAGGATTTAATCAAAATTCCATTGGAGGAAAATTTTTAATAATAACGGATGCCCACACGACTCAGAAATATGGAACTCATACTGAAAGTCCCAGAAAGAGCTGCGGTCATGGCTTTGCATGAAGCTCCTCCCACTGTAGGCAGGAGCCAGGACAGACCAAAACACATTATGTGAGGGCAAATTCATGAACGCACTCACTTCATTCTGGCATTAAATCAACTACTGTTTCTGCAGCCTTCCCTATTTGTGTGTATATTACATCACTTCAATTGATATTCAGCATCAGGCACAGCAGTAGTTAAGTCTTTGAATGCACAGAATCTTGGGGGGCATGAAACTAAACTCCATACTGGTAAAGAACAGCAAGAGAAAAGAAAATACCTGGCACCGGCAATTAAGCCCGCAGGCATAAATTTTCCAGAGTGGTAGAATCTCATTCCCATAATGCCAGCTAAGGTTCCAGATGTAGCTGATGGGAAAGAGAAAAGAATCAAAGATCATTACATCTTATATGCGGGAGAACGGACGTCCCACCGATCTTTCAAGGGCCAGACCCCATCTCATACTATCATCTCCTTCCCCATGGCCACCCACGCTCTATGGGGCTAAGAACAAATACTGGAATGTAAGGCCCTCACAGGCTGAGCCAAACGGCCTTCTTGGCCTTACTTCCTACCACTCTTCAGCCACAGTTTTCTCCAAATTTGCCACAGATCTTTTTTTCCTATCCTTGCTGATGTATTTATACTGCATGCTCTTCTTTTCAACATCTGTTAAAACACCTATTATATGCCATACACTGCACTAGGGGCTGGAGGACAAAACTATCATCAAAAAAGGTATTTTTTTTAAAGATTTTATTTATTTATTTGACAGAGATCACAAGTAGGCAGAGAGAGAGAGGAGGAAGCAGGCTCCCTGCAGAGGAGAGAGCCCGATGCGGGGCTTGTTCCCAGGACCCTGGGATCATGACCTGAGTCGAAGGCAGAGGCTTTAACCCACTGAGCCACCCAGGCGCCCCCATCAAAAAAGGTATTTAAACAGGGGTGTATGGGTGGCTCAGGTCATGATCCTGGAGTCCTGGGATGGAGCCCCGCATTGGGTTCCCTGCTCAGTGGGAGTCTGCTTCTCCCTCTGTCCCTCACCCTGCTCATGCTCTATCAAATAAATAAAATCTTAAAAAAAAAAAAAAAGGTCTCTAAACAGTGGGTCCAGCCTATACGGAAAGATCAGGAAAGGACTTGCAGAGGAAGTAAAGATCAAGCGAAGATCTAAAAAGTAGGAGTCAATGAACTAAAGGGGGAAGAAAGCACATTCCATGCAGAGGGAATAATACACCGAGGGCCTTGTGGTGAGAGGGAACTGAAGCTAAAATACGGCTAGCAAGGAAGAAGGGCCAGACCACAGAGCCTTGACTGTGAAGACTGTGGTCTTCATCCTCAGAGAAATGAGAAGTCATTTAAAGATATCAAGCAGAGGGATACATGAGCAGAAGAGAACTGTAAAAACAAAATTCTGGCTGTTCCATGGGGAACTGCAGCGAAATCAGGGCATGTAGGGATACCAATTAAGACACTTCCTCAGGAATGCAGGCAAAATACAGGGATTACTGGGATGGGGACAGTGGCCATGGAGACAGAGGAGACAATTCAGGATATGTGCTGGAGGTGGTGTCAACAGGACTTCCTGGTGAATGAGACAGAAAGATGGAGGGCAGGAGAGCAAGACCCAAAAGGATGGAGAACACCAGAAGACCAAGATTATGTGAGGACAAGAGGTCAGGTTTGGGTAGATGCCTTGAGACAACTAACAAAATATTTCAAGCACGTAACTGTATACCTAAGAGTAAAGCTTAGAGGAGAAACCCTTTTGTGAATCAATGACCTGTTTCAATAGTAATTTAAGGCCTGAGCTCCAATGAGCCAAGCAAGATGGTATAAAGAATATAAAAAGAGCCAGGTCTTGGGGCACCTGGGTGGCTCAGTCAGTTAAGCAGTCAACTCTTGATACTGACTCAGGTCATGATCTCAGGGTCCTGAGACTGAGCACCACATCAGGCTCCGTGCTCAGTGGGGAGTCCACTTGGAATTCTCTCCCTCTCCTTCTGCCCCTCCCCCTGCTCACTTGAGCTTTCTAATAAATAAACAGGTCTTAAGAAAAAAAAAAAAAAAAAGAGCCAGGTCTTAAGAACTTCAACATTTAATAGCCAAAAAGGAAGATGGGTTAACAAAAGAGAACAAGTAAATAAAAAGGAAAACAGGAGAGTGGAAAATGTATTGGTCTATTATGCTAAGAAAGCTAACAGGCCACTAGAATGAGGATTAAAAAACGTACACTGCAAAGGCACATGCGTGGTTCAGTCAGTTAAGCATCCAACTTTGATTTCAACTCAGGTCCTGATCTCAGGGTCCTGGGATTGAGCCCCACGAGGGGCTCCTCCGTGCTCAGCGGGGAGTCTGCCCAAGATTCTGTCTCCCTGTGCCCCTCCCCTGTCTTGTGCATGCACGCGTCCACTCTCTCTCTCTCAAATAGACATCTTAAAAAAAAAAAAAAAAACTGGATTCTGAAAAATTCAGGTCACTGGCACAATCAGGGAAAACTATTTCCATGGACAAAGGAGACAAAAACAAGAGACTGAGTGGGTCGAGAATGTGAAAGGGGAAGAAGTAAAAACAAGCAGTGTAACACACTGTTTAAGAGAAGTTTCTAAAGGGGAAGAAGGGCATCAACTGGAGAAGGAAGTGGGGTCACAAAAGGTCCTTTTTTCTTCACTGTGTGAGAGAGGACACACATGAACATAGGCAGGAGGGAGCCATCTGCATGGTGGAATCAAGTAAGAGATGGCATCTGTGGCAGAATAACACTCCAGAAGGTCAGGGAGAAGAGACCCAAAGGCTGGGTGGAGACACTGGCCTTGGAGAGAAGAGAAACAGCACAGCGGAAGGTATGGTTACTGACAGCACGCTGGAGCCCCCATGTGAAGACTGCTGCTCTTCTTTAGGTAGGCAGTGCTAAGAGTGGAGGAGTGGAATCAGACAGAAATGGGAAAAAAGTGAGCCACATGGGTGGCCCAGTTGTTTAAGTGTCTGCCTTCGGCTTAGGTCATGATCCCAGGGTCCTAGGATCGAGTCCTACATTGGGCTCCTTTATCAGCAGGGAGCCTGCTTCTCCCTCTGCCTGCTCTGCCTGCCATTTCCCCTGCTTGTGCGCTTTCTCGCTCTCAGATAGATAGATAGATAGATAGATAGATAGATAAATAAATTCTTTGGGCGCCTGGGTGGCTCGGTTGGTTAAGCGACTGCCTTTGGCTCAGGTCACGATCCTGGACTCCCAGGATCGAGTACCACATCAGGTTCCCTGCTCAACAGGGCGTCTGCTTCTCCCGCTGAACTCCCTCCACTCATTCTCTCTCAAATAAATAAAATCTTAAAAAAAAAAAAAAGAAAGAAATGGGAAAAAAGAAGTCTGAAAGTCTTTCAGGAACTTGAATGAGGGAGCTGTGAGGCAGACGGAGAGCTGGGCACCTCCTCCTCTTGCAGCACACCCCACATCGGCCATTGCTGACCTCTACTGCCCAGCCCATGACAACTCGTGCAAACCACTCCATTAACATGCTTGCTCTCCCCACTATACTTTTAAAGGCCAGAACTATAAATTTCCCAACTCTGTGGGTTTGTGGAGACAGTGAGATGCCCACAGTCCTAACACAGAGCCAGATACACAGGTGAAGCTCAATAAAAATGCCCCCAAAGCCACCCTGGTAAGTAGTAATCTTCCGTTCCCAGCATTCCTCACTCTCTGTGCAGCTCACAGGGCACTTTGGCAGCCCCGCAGACGGTTCTGTGTCAGTCAAGATAAAGGCTCCTTGAAGGCAAGGCCTCTGCCATACGTTTAGCTCAGTGCTAAAGGGCTAATATTTTCAAATGTGAAAAATTAATATTGATGTAAACCTAAGCCTGACATGTGATCCTCTGCGAATGCTCAAGCACAGTCTTCAGTGGGTCATCATAATGATTAAGAGACATATACTTGCCTTGCATAGCTTTATTATTAATTTCATTGGTTAAACCTAAATTCATGAGGCATGAAAACCTTTCCGTATTCTGTACTTAGAAAACAAACAGAAACCAGCACAACTCCTCCCACCTCCAATTTTAAAACTTCCCTAGAACTTGGCAGAAGTAGTAAAACTGTCTTCATGTGAAGAACCGGCCAAATTCCACCAAACCAGAGCCTCTTGGTAGAGGACTCTGGATACATAATTGTACAAGGGAGACAGTGACACTGACATACCTAGGAACACCCAAATGTTCCTCGGATCCTGAGACAGCTGATAAGCACCCAGGCCTGCTAAGCTACCAAAAAGCAGCCCAGCAGCCAGTGACGGGACACTACCTGTAAGAAAGCAAACAGAGTCCTGCATTATAATGTCAGCCACTCATTTCATTAACAGAATTCACGAGATTTCCTTTACCTTTTCCCACAAAAAAATTTTTTTTCTCAACACAGTTCATAACCAAGGAGCTCTCAGGCAGGAAAACGTTTGGGGAGTTTGCTATTTTACAGAAAAGGCAGGGTAACAGCACACTAATCCTATTTTTAATTAGACAGATACTTCTATCTGGGGTGAAAAGAAGGGCTCCTAACCAGGCCTGACTAACCTGTCAAGGGCTGAAACGGTCTGTAGTTAGAACTCAGGCAAATCCACCAAAGGAGAGGGAAATAAGGGCAGTGAGTTAAAAAAACAAAAAACAAAAAACAAAAAAAATGAACAAATAAAAAACAAAACAAAACTGGAGAGTAAGAATTCTGGGGTGTGTGTGTTGGGTTGGAGATGCAGGCTAGAACTGAGGTAGAAACAGCACATTTACTGATAGACCTATGTCTAAAGAGGAGACTTCAAAAAAAGTGAGCAGGGAAAGAAAAGAGGTTTCTTCCTACTTAGCACAGAGATGACACTCTGGGGTCAAGGCTGCTGTGTGGTAGTCAATGATAAGAACAACCTACTACCACCCCTGCCCAGCAGCTTTAGATAAAGAACCCAAGGACAAGTGAGTAGACAAGAAGCCTGACTTTGGTCAACCAGATAATGGAAAAGCCAGTGCAAGAGCCGCTATATTGATAAGAAGCCCGCCCTCAAGCTAGTGGGCTTAAAGCAAACTTGACTCAAACCAGATCGCACTTCGGGGACTCACTCTTTACCAGCAACAATGTGAAAATCTTAGGAGGTTTAAGCGGCTACAAATCATACCTGCTTTTGCATAGCCAATGATGCCACCAGAAGCAACCAGGGCTGCATAGCCAAAGCCAATCCAATGTAAAGGCACTCTGAAAATGAAAGCGTAAGAAATCAGTGCCAATCGTGGCTTAAAAAATAATAAAAAATTACAGGACGGGATTAAAACATCATTCCAGAACAGTGACAGGACTGTACAAATGAACATAAATCCCAGAGGTCAGATGACTTGCTGTAGTCGATGACAGAGGTGGAACTCAAACCCAGGTCCCTGGCCTACATGTCCACCCTCCCACATACCCTGTGCTCGCCAGCAGTCTATTCTTACGGGCCTTTCCAGATAAGGAAGCTAGCTCTGGTTTTGAGAAGTTGCTGGCTATTCCTCTCCCATCCAGTGTACTTACAGTGGGCCAGAGTCCTTCTGCATTGTTCTCTTTCACTCTGACCAGACAGAGTACACCAGGCCAGCACCTGCGGAGGCGGGGACTAGATCAGAGATGGTTAACTGCGGGGCTCTATAGCAGTCAGAAGGAAATGGACCCAAGTTCCAGCTCCACCCCTCAGGAGCTAAGAAGTAGCAGTCAAGCTACCAAGCTCTCTTAGCCTCAGCTTCCCTCACTGTACAGAAGGGTAAGAATGGTAGAAATTTCCCAGGGCTCCTGTGAGCGTTAAACAGGGTAATAGGAAAAGTGCTCAGCACGTAGTAAAATGCCGAGCAGATACCAACCGTTCTGGTAATAACCTCCATTCTAATAACACACGCCTACAGGAAATGGAACGCAATTCACTGACCAGCTGTGTACAGATGAGTTTATCTTCTCCTCAGCTAACCAGCTTATTACTAAATCAGAAACGAAGTATCCCCTGTGTCCTTAATCGAGCTATTTTAATTGCCCCTTTCAGCCCTTGCCCAAAGAATTCAATTACTGCAACACTCAACATCTGCAAAACTTTTAGCTGGCTATTTACTCTTGCATCCAAATCACAGCTCGTTCGACTGAGCTCGGCGAGGGGGTAAAAGACTGGAAAGCCCAAGTGCTAGTTAACGTAGGACACTTCGTTCTTGGCGAAGCAGGGTGTAACTCCTTTAAAGAAATGCATTTGGTATCCAATGAGTTTTAAAGCTTGGAAGCAATTCATACCTGTTTTGTTTTAAATTTTTAATTGTGGGGCAGGGGAATGCCAGTGATTAATTCCAAGTAGCGCCGAGTTACTGAGACTCTCAAGGAGCTGGAGCAGTAAAATCCACAGGAAGCTAGTCACCACCACGCTACATCGGTAAGCATTTGTCTCAAGAGCACAGGGATTCTGCAAGGTTCACAGTTTTTAAGGAAAGCACAAAATGCGCGACTAGAAAGGCAACTATGACGCAGCCTAACGCTCCTGCCTGGGTCTGAGGGACGAAGAGTGGGCGGGAGCAAAGCCTCTCCTGTAATCCCCCAAAGTCAAAAAGGTAGAGAATAATAACAATTCCCAAGTACCGAACCGCTTTGCCGTAGGTCCACACCGGCCTTCTAAGGCGCACAAGCAGTGAGGCGGACAGTACTGGTCCCGCCGGAAGCGACGCCGCGCGCTCTGCGTCCCGGGGGCAGGGCGGAACATGGGGCGGGGCGAAGCCCAGAGCCAGGGTAGAGGAGGGGTGCAGTCGCAACGCGCGCAGGCGTCCCGGGAACCGGGGACGCATGGGGCGGGGCTTGAGGGGAGGAGTCGAGGCGCGAGCACAGCGTCCCGGAGGCGGGGCGGGACCTGAGGCGGGGAGTTGTGCTACGCCCCCTAGGTCCCAGTGCCGCAGCTCCCACAGGGCAGCCGACCTTTGAAGCTCGGCTCTCCAAAAGCGTGCCTGAAACCCAGAATTTGAGTCGGATCTTGCAAGAGGCATCGCGAGTTGGGCCCGGCCTGAGGTGCGGGGCGACGGATACGAGAGAAGGGCACCTGAGGATGAACTCTGAAAGACCCTTTTAGTGGAGGGACTTGTGGTTTACCTAGTGTAAACCGGAGGCGTGCTCTAGCCAGATCGCGTTTTTTGCCTACAGTGTAAGTACTTTCTTCCTGCAGAGATGGTGACCGCAAACCAGGGTGTTTACTTGAGCAGCATCTTAGAGGAGGAGAGAGGGTGAGTTAAATATAATTTCCCACTACCTCTGTATGCCCTAGTGTCCACAAAACGTTAATCTCCATTCCGCTACAGATCGGCTTCTCTTAACTCGCGTTTCCTGCAGGACCACTAACTCGATTGCTGTACAGCAAAATTTGGGTGTTTATCCTTGATAAGTCTCTCTTTATCCTTAATCTTCTACAAGAATCAATGTAGATAAATCTTACAAATACAATCTTGAGTGAAAAAAGGAAACTGCAGCTCATGCATACTCCCAAACAAAAACTTTCCAGTTACAGCAGTTCCTGCATTTGAGATACCAAAACTGAAGCCTGTGTTTACCGTAACTAATTCTAACCAGGGAAATCAGATTAGGACTAAGAAGACCTTGAGTAATTCCAGTATGCCAGACCCTCACTGAGTTACTGGAACTTAACAATGGGACTTAACTTAAAACTAGCTCAGAATGGATTTGGGGATGCCTTCCTCCCTATTCAGGTGTCAACTTAAACCTTAGTTTTAACAGCAGTGATCTTACTCCTGCCCTTTAGACTTAAAGAAATTGAACCACAGAGAAAATTAAGTAAGTTACCTACAATCCTCATCCTGGCTGGAGCTGCTATTTTGAAGTAAGGTCTTTCGAAATCTACACCCTTAACTTAACATTGTGTTGCCTCTATGTCATTCCTCAACCAAAACCTAGTGGCCCTCTTTCTCATGCAATGGCCTGTGAAGTCCTACACATTTACCTCCCTGCCCTCGGCTCACTTTCATCACGACTTTGCTCATGCTTCAGCCTCCCTGTCCCCACCTCTGAGCATTTGCACCTGTTGCTTCAGCTGCCCAGCACTTCCCAGATAATCTCCCAGGTCACCACCTGGTCTCCTTTATGTCTTTATTCAGCTGTCACTTCCTCAGTGAGGCCTTCCTGGATCATCTGGTTTAAAATGGGTGGCTCATTTGGTGAAGCGTCTACTTTGGCTCAGGTTGTGATCTCAGGGTGCTGGGATCAAGACCTGCATCCAGCTCCCTGCTCATTGGGGAGCCTGCTTGTCCCTCTTCCTCTGCCTCCTGCTTGTGCTCTCTTGCAAATAAATAAATCTTCAAAAATAAACTAAAAATTGCAACGCATATGCAATTCTCAGCATATTTTCCTCCATGGCACTTACCTCCATATTTAGTGCTGTATAACTTACTAATTATAAAATCATCTCCCCACCCTAGTATGTAAGTTCCTAGAGAATGAGGGTGTTTATGCAGCACTTAGAATAGTGCTTGGCACACACAGTGGATGCTCAGTAAGCATGTGTTGAATGAATGAGCAGATGTGGAATAAAAGGAGAGGCTGGTGTGCACAAAGCAGAATGAAGACAATATGCAGAGAGAGAAAGAGACAAGAGGGAGAGATTGCCCTGATCACACCCTGTCCCTTTCTGAGCTCTGGTTCTCTTCCTACCCTAGCTTCTGTCAGACGCACCTGTGTCTGTTATAAATCCATCCCCATGCCCGCTGTTGAAGTTTGGAATAAACAGAGTTGCTCTTTGTTATTTGCAGTTAAATATCTCTTTTAGCTGAGATAGCACCCCGTTTCTTCTGCCAGAAATACCTTTTTATCCTTGTCTAAAAACTCAATCTCATTTTTTTTTTTAGATTTTATTTATTTATTTGACAGAGAGCGATCACAAGTAGACAGAGAAGCAGGCAGAGAGAGAGAGGGAAGCAGACTCCCTGCTGAGCAGAGAGCCCGACGCGGGGCTCGATCCCAGGACCCTGAGATCATGACCTGAGCCGAAGGCAGCGGCTTAACCCACTGAGCCACCCAGGCGCCCCTCAATCTCATTTTTAAAAATTTATTTATTTGACAGACAGAGATCACAGGTAGGCAGAGAGGCAGGCAGAGAGGAGGAAGCAGGCTCCCTGCTGAGCAGAGACTGATGCAGGGCTCAATCCCAGAACCCTGAGACCATGACCTGAGCTGAAGGCAGAGGCTTTAACCCACTGAGCCACCCAGGCGCCCCCTCAATCTCATTTTTTATTAAAAAGTCATCAGTCAAGCTGCCCCTGGCTATCCCAGGCCATTACGTGTGTTCTGTGAAAGGGGGGTGTATGCAAAAGGACCACCAAAGGTCAAAGAAGTCACAAGACCCGAGAGAAAGGCTGACAAGTCTAGCTTGGCAAGTAATGGCTTATTAGGGGGACAGATGTTTCTTTGGCTGCCACGGTACAAGTAGACTTGCACATGTCTCCTGTCTCCAGGGCAGATCAAGGATGCTATGCCCTAAGGGTATACTTAAGGATGTGGTTAAACAAAAGGAAAGAATGGGGGGACCTGTGCTCAAGAAAGTTTCAGGTCACAAAACAGTCATCCTGGCGGATTTGTCCAAGATAGACATGAAACATGAAACATTTACCAAAACTTTTGTCCTTCGGGTGGGGATCACACTTTTCCTTCCTAAGGTAGTGCCTGGCACATGGTGAACACAATACAGGCTACCGAATAAACAAAGGAGGGAGGAGGTCTAGGTCTGGCACAGTCTAAATTGAGAAAAAGTGAATTTGTGATGAGATTCTGCTCACACACAAGTATCAAAGTAGACAATTCAACATTTGGATGGTGAAGACTATATGCAGACTATACATTTCTACATGGAAAAAAGAAACAGAATGAAAATGAATTCCCCCAAATAAATTATAGTTTGTTGTGTGTGTTTTTTTTAAGATTATTTATTTATTTATTTGATAGACAGAGATTACAAGTAGTCAGAGAGGCAGGCAGGGAGAGAGGAGGAAGCAGGCTCCCCGCTGATGCGGGGCTCGATCCCAGGACCCTGAGACCATGACCTGAGCCAAAGGCAGAGGCTTTAACCCACTGAGCCACCAGGCGCCCCAAGAAATTATAGTTGTATATGACCTGTTGTCAATGTAATGGCTTCCAAGGATACTACCAGGTAAGTTCTGCCAGAGGTCACTGAGCAGAGAGGCTCACAGACTAACCTAAAATGCTTGAATCACATGGTTTATTAAATCAATTTTTAAAACATGAGGAGGAGAGAGGTGGTTCAAGATGGCGCCATAGGAAGACCCTGCATTCACTTTACCCCATGGACATACTGAATCTACACCTACATGCACAGAATTACTTCTGAAGAACTAATGTTGATTGAATAGCTTCTGCACAATGAATAGAGGGACCACACAGAGAAGGGCAGAAGAGAGAGACATGGTAACAATGAGACCGCACCACCAAAGCAACAACCTGCAGCAGGGAGTAGTATCACTGAGGAACCCACATGTGGATTTCCTCATCCCTGGAGCATGGCAAAAACCCCGTAGTTCGGGCGCCTGGGAGGCTCAGTGGGTTAAAGCCTCTGCCTTCCCCTCAGGTCATGATCCCAGGGTCCCAGGATTGAGCCCCACATCAGACTCCCCACTGTGTGGGGAGCCTGCTTCTCCCACTCCCTCTGCCCTTCTTCCCTCCAAACACTTATATTCGCACTCTCTTCCACACACTTTCTCAAATGAAATCTTAAAAAAAAAAAAAAAGAACCAACAGTTTAAAGGCAACTTAACTATTAAGTAAAGGAAATCCATTTATTAACCCTAGAATGTCTACCAAATGGTGGGAGAACTACTGGAATTCTCTGCAGTGGGAGATGCCAGTGAGAGCCTTGGTTTACGTTCCCCCTTCACCGGGATAGCATGGCAGGGAGCAGGGTCCAGGCGCTCTAGCCCACCTGCTTGGGTTGCTCCAGTGAGCCCTGGGCTCCTAACACACCAACTCCAGCTGTCCACCAAGGTGGCCCTAGCACAGGGTGTTCTGGGACCCAACAGGCCTGCACCTGACTTCAGCATTTCACCAGGAATGCCCCAATACCTCATGCACTGGGACACTCCCAACCAGCACCCATTCCACCTCAGCCATCCCACATCTGATAAAGGATTGCTATCAAAAATACAAAGAACTCTTAAAACTCAATTAGTAAGAAAACAATTTTATTAAAAAAAAAAAAAAAGCCAGCTATTCGGACACCTTACCAAAGACATACAGATGCTCCACATATGTCCTCAGGGAAATGCAAAAGAAAATGAGATACCACTACACACAAAACTGGCCAAAATCCAGAACACTGACACCACCTGATGCTGGGTGAGGATGTGGAGCAACAGGTACCCTCAGACATTGGTGGTAGGAATGAAACACGGCACAGCCACTTGGGAAGACAGTGTGGTAACTTCTTACCAAAGTACACATACTCTTACCATACAGCCCATCAATCATACTACTTAGTATTTACCCAAAGGAGTTGAAAACCTGTCCATCCAAAACCTTAGGCACGGATGTTTACCGCAACTGCCAAAATATGGAGGCCACCAAGATGTCCCCCAGTAGGTGAAGGGTAAACGGT